ATTATGGTATAGTGCTTGAAGTCTGTAACGAAACAGATCAGCCTAGTAAGTAGAGTTGCCTGTTTCTGATGAGTATACTGATTCAAATCAGTCTGATTAAAAATAGGAAAAAAGTGCTTTTGGTACTGTTGCTGTCATACATTATAAGAGAGCGATAAGTATGTTTGGTGTTTATTTCTAGATTGTACATCTATCACTGACCATATTTCATGATCACTGTCATTAAACAATTTCCCCAGCAGTAACATCGGTAGCAGGATAGCTAAGTATCTGAGCTTTTATTTGCCCGTAGAAGAGCAGTATACAGTCTTAGAAGATGAGTGTTCTGTATTTCAATTAAATGCAGTTGGCTGTGGACAAATGTTAAGAATCTTTTTGACAACTAGGACTTTTAGTTCATCAAACACTAACTCTGCTTGTATGTCTCCCCGTTAAACTAGATGCAGATACATGGTAATACTTAAATGAGAGCAAAATAATAAAAGCATTGAGATACGTTATTAAGTCCATGTTATGCTTTGCACAATAAATAGCTGACCTGACCTAATATTCATGAACTAAAGGTAAATCACAACTGCATAAATTCTTTGCTAAAATACATGTAATTTGGTTATTTATCTATTCTACATTTCTGACTAAATTCATTACTGTTTTCTCATTTAGAATGCAACAGGACTGAGTCTTCACAGATGTTAAGAACTGTTTCGCCCTTAGAACTATGGCCCTATGGATCTGTTTACGGGAGACCCAACTAACAGCAGATTATAAAAAGGATGCTGTATGTCCATTTTAATCTCACAACCACTTCCAGTACTTTTTGAGTTACTTCTTTTACCCTTTCGTTTGGAAAAAACAACAAAAACTCCAGCTTAACATTACAAATGCAACTTTTAGACTGGAACTTGGTTTAAAACTTTGTTTCACGTTCGATTCTTAATGAAAGTTCTCGAATAAATTTATGAACCTAATGCTACTTTGTTTTATCTACTTAATCGTTGCAAGAAACTTGTGATAATCGAGCCTCTCATCACCTAATTCATGTGTTCAGACTTCCGTGTCTATTAGCAGGGGATCACCAAAACCTCCAAGCAGGAACCTAGGTATGTTAACAATAAAAGATCCAGTCGCCTCCCAAATGACTCCTGGGAAGTCGCTTGGACTAGTTCGGCGGGCAGCGAATTCCAGCATTCGACAACTCTTAAGGAGTAGAAGTTGCGTCTACAGTCTATTCTGCTATGTCGTGTCTCTAGTTTCTGGGACTAAGCTCAAATAGGTGTTTAAGAAAATGTCCAGAAGTGTTAAGGATCCTGTAAGTAAATAGGTCACCTCTAAGACGTCTATACTTTAATGAGTAGAGGTTAAGTGATTGGAGGCGCTCTTCATAAGGTGATTTGGTGCATATCTCCGTCACTTTCTTAGGAAACCTACAGGCTCGGGTCCTCTCACAACTTATTCTAGCCACCATGAGTTGCCACGAAAACTGATGGATGGACACGCGTTACACATCCTAACCGTCCCTGCATCTAATCTCATAGCTCCTTATTCAAATGTCATATGATAAGCAAGTAATGCTTCTACCGACACTAATGGAACACGAGTAATTCAAAGGCACCCTGTATGGTACTTTACATTGGTTTACGCACTCACTTAGCTCTTTAGTGGGAATATTACTACAGTCCTGCTAAAAAACCCATGAACCCCCCTACCACCATCAAAACAATAAGTCTGTATTTGCTGCATATAGCAATTTTATTTTTCAGAAGATATAACAGTAAGAATTGGAGTAAAATAACAATATACAACAGATGCACGTGGTACATGTCTTCATCGATCATCTGAAATAGAGAATACGGATATTAGCTTAACATGCTTATTTAGAAAGACTAGTGTTTACTTTGAACTTACTGTGTGAGAAAGTTATACTGGAACTGTGAATAATGTAGGAATCTAGTCTCCCAGGGCGTACGAAGCACTCAAACTGGAAGACAGTTGTCACAAATTAATTCGAATATGAAGTTGAGAATTTGCAAGTACTTTTCATCGTAAAGGTGAACATATTATATAACGGTTGACATCATACCGTAAAAATAACGAATTTGCGAGTGTTGAATTATGGTCTATAAAAAGCTGAGCTTAATAACAGTTAGTTACCTTTTTACTCCCTGATCATGACCCTTCGACTTCCTTATATGGCCGAAACAGCAAACATACACTACACACTGATAGCAGATTTCCGGCTTTTCAATGTTAAGCTTGCTTTAACGCACTACGTAATGCGTACAACCCCTCCATTACTGCTATGTGTCATATTTTTTCATAACAAACCCTCTGCAATAGATTGGTAGCATCTGTGAATTTGTCTATGGTTGTCGGAAGCCTGAGTACTTTCGAAAACAATACTGATATCCCCTACGGCTAGGCACTAAGTATTAGTTTGACTCATTGGTGGGATATTGTTGTCCGCAATACTGAAGAAAATTAAAAACCGGAAATTGTTTCCTTTCATTTTGCCGATAACATCATAGAGGACAGTTAGGAATGAACATGCGGACAGTCAGTCACAGGACGCAGCAACAGTTATTTCAGCTAAGAAAAAACGAACTTCGGCTTTTGATATCTTGAAAACAAGTCGAAACTAAACCGATTTTCATTTTAAAACATAAGACTAACCAGCTTGACTGAAGAAATACATTGACTAGAGTAGAAGCAGCAAAAACCCAAAAAACAATGCTGATTCGAAGTAAATTTCACACCAACATGTAGAACCCTACACTAACTGCGGCATCTTAGCACATTGAAACATTAATTACACAGCTACACAAAAGAAATAGCTAAAAGAAGCACAGAACGAAGAAAGCCGGCCGTCATTACGTACAAAGATGGCGGATATAATAATTCCCGCCACATTCTGATTGGTTGCCAAGCTGAAAGGCACATTTACGAAATTGAGTTGCGTTTAATTGCAGCCGAGATATGTCTCAAGAATTAGTTGTATTTCTTAATTTTTGTAGCAGCTGAGTTGGTCCTACCGGCCTTTCACATTGTCCGGATGTTCCATGTACCCACAAAAATGTTTGCTCTGGTTTTTAGAAAGGGCATCGGCCTCATGATTTGCGAAGAATCTCGACTTTTAGCCTGAGGCTTCATAATCCTTTCTTAAACTCTAAAAGCAGAGTTTAACTGTTCCGATTTGTTTGATCTGGTTGGGGTTTTTTGGAAAGATTTTTTCTACGGGACGGGCTTGCAAACTTCTTTTTCAACTCCCCCCGTACCCGGGCTTGGGACTGGTAGTAACTCTAGAAGAGCAACAGGTGGAAAGACTCCGACACGTCAGATTGTCCTCTTTGGGCTGTAGGAGAAGAGGAAGTGATCTAATAATGGTACAAAACATTCCAAGCACCCTAATATAGAGCATTCTAGGGGAGTAAATCAATTGGTTTACGTAAGTTCGTGAGTGAGGAATTGGATACCGGATTGTGATAGCGGTCATTTTAAGTTCTGGCGTTGCGATGGTTTGTTCTCAGTTTGTATCATGGATAGTTAATTGGATTGTGGCTAAACTTACTTTTCATATCTCCAATTGGTCACCTATAGATTTTTGTTTTATCATTATCCTAGTTATAATTATCACGGATCGCGACTTATCTGCTCAAGCTATTACCTTCTATTGATCCCATCTACTTGGCGTTTTTATAGATTAGAAGTGACTTTTTTTCTGTATCCCGAAGGTACCACAATATACAAAGTCTTAATTTCATATTATATCCTCATGATCACTGTCTACATAAAACTGGAAAATGTTTTAACGTTTTTCTTACTGAAATACTCCCGTTTTGGAAAACTTCAGTTGCTTCCAAAATTTTATTTATCAGACCTTCGTCTTATTTTGTGTTGATTTTCTCGTAGTAATAGTAATGATTGCTCATTGTGTGTTGCCAAATTTAATAACTGATTATCTTGGTACAATCATTTATGAGGTGTTTTGATGATGCTCAAATTCAAACCCACGAATTTGCATCGGGTAACTGTACTGTATCAAAATTTGTCTTAAAATGACATGTCATACGTAAATTTCATCACTCTGCGTTACGCTTGTCAGTTTTGGGTTCTTTTGCCCCTAAATTATATTCGAAAGAGTACGGTAGCTCGTGCTAGATTGTATTCGTTCAAGTTGGTACATTCTAAAATGACGTTATCAAAAAAGTAAACAGTGTTACTAAAGCTAGAAAAAACTATTGGGGAAGTGTGGCGAGTTGCTCGGTCGATTAGTTGTTTTTTTATTCAAAATAAGGGATGATATAGACGCACCATGTTTTCTTTTAACATCACTAAACTCTAGCCAGTGAGTTGATATCATTCCATATAGGTCTGGCAAACATCTAATAAACTGAAGGACTAACTTAGCACATTGACCTAACATTTTGTAAGGGTCGAAAAACCAGTCATGGACATCGTTGGAACTGACACTAGTATGCTTCGATCCAGTTTGATACACCAGATATCAATAGAGAAAATAAAAATATGGAGTAGAATCAATATTAGTTGTAGTGAACAAATGATGAGAGAACGAAAGGTTTATTTCTTTCCAGCTAACGTAGGGCATCCTCCTAGGCAGCAGTTTACTGTATATGATATGTCTGTTATCTCAATGTGTTTCTCAACATGTTAAGTGATTTATTTTCTCTGTTTAAATTCACATTTCCGATATTTCATCCCTGTTGGCTTTTAAATAAATAAATAAGACAAGCGAATTTTGGGTCTTCCAGTATGAGAAGCAAGTCAAGAGATAAACCAAATAGGTATAGATCTTACAAGATGTCTTTTTTTGATCATATATAAATTATAGAGTTCTTTCTCGCGAAAGTACCTAGATGGAACCTGAATTTTTTTGACAGTTTTCTTTTCTTTTTTTTGAGACTGTGCTGTATCTCATAAGCACTTTTTTCTACTTCGTAGGATGACTCTCACAACTTCTTACTGGACTAGTTCAGCAGTCAAAAATGATGAATATTCCTAAAAAAGTCAATATAATTGGTAAATACTAACTGTTGAATATTGTTCATTCTACTTGTTATTGTCGAATCTTTTTAACTAGTATTTTCACGCGGTAATTCAGTCCTTTGTGTTAAATGTGTGATCATTTTTGAAATTTCGCAAATTTAATATAAAACTATGTTACCCACAGTGTTATTGTATTTTAAACTGATTGTCTGGTAAGTGTTTCTTCATAAACCATTTTGTATTCAGTTATATGTTTTGACCCATCATAGAAAGATGTATGGATACACGGAGCTATTATCACATTTTTCGAGTTCCTGTGAAGTTTTATACCGTTGGTTGCCTGTTCATACCCTGTAAACTTTATGATTTCATTTTCCTCGCTGCCAAAGTGAACAACTTCATTGTTGTTCTATAGTCTGCATTTGTATTGGAAATAATTAAATTTATCTGATAAAATACTATATTTTATATAGTTTGTCACCATTTAGAAATTTCTGAACTAGTATTTCGAAAAATTTATTGACATCATAGTTGGCAGTTCAGCTTATTACTTGTAGGCATTATCAGTGGTTCATTCATTTATTCATAGTTACGTTTCGTTTAACATTAATTTCATTTGTACTAACAAATTTTACTAGTCTCGTGTAGCTCGTTTTGTACGTGCACGTTTCCACTCAATAATCAATTGGTAGTGGTCAGTCTTTCTGCCTCCTAGTATTTGCTCAGCGTAAATGCCATCAGTTGTTCGGTTAACTGAATGAAGTAAATTCTGTAACTAACAATTTGTTTGATCAGTCACCTCATTCAGGAGTTCGTATAAAGTTTTATCAGTCAAACAATCAAACATTGGAACCACAATAACTCATGTTTTCCAAAAAAATATTCTGTAATTCTTATTTGAGCTAGTCTCTAACTGTACGTCAATATGACAATTAAGATAATAGTTATCTACAAAATCATTGATCACACTATTTAGCTGTGTGTAAGTACTCGCCTTGTAACCAATATGAAGATAGATTATTTTACTTTTCTACATCACTTATCGGTAAATGTCACCGATGAATGAACATGAATGATTTTTAAACAGTTTCTGAGGTTGTGTTTACTTATTTTTATTGTTGTGCCCATAGTTTGGGTGGTAAACCTACGAAAGTGGTTCGTAATAGATGGTTACAACGGCTGCTCTCACCCAAACATTTCTATTCAGAAATGGGCACATCAATTTACACATGATGAGTTGAAGAAATATTGTGGCAAAGTATCTAGTATTTAGTCAAAAATCAGTAACCGTAATTTACTAGGTATGAAGGTTCAATGTTGACGTAACAACTGGGTTCTCGACTCGGTAGCCAAATGCAAATTTTCATACTCAAATTTAAGTCACTTTTTTATGTGACTACTAGTGATAATATCCAAGACAAGGCAATGTAAAAGAGACTAAGCCATTGACACAAACACCTTCGCTAACAATAAGAATACGATACTGTCCACTCAAACATTAAACTGCAACCATAATTTTCTATACTGGGACAACTGCAATCTCTGTCCAGTGGTGAATAAAACTCATTTAGGTTGGTTTACTAGTCTACATCTTACATCTTCCTATAACATCTCGAGGGACAAGAGAAATGTAAGTGAGGTTTGGCATTGAATACTAAGACTCCCTCACACATGCCCCTATTTATTATATTTACATAGTGAATAGAGATCAGAATAACGGTTTAACCATTAAAATCATGGAGTAGATTCAGTTTTTATCTGTATACTTCAGGTTATTTTCATAAATTAGATTCTAGGCTTTTTCTACTCAAAGCTTGAATGTAAATTCACTAGTGTTTACGTATTACTCCACACTTCTTGTTAATCAATGAACGTTTTTACATTTGTTTTGTAGTACAGCGTGGGGAGAATTTGGAATACACTTCGTCACTTAAAAAAGGTATGTTTGGATATGTTGTTAGTGAATACATTTGTTTGACCAGATAAAAAAAATACAATTATTACTACGTAATTAGAGAATCGATTGTGGTGACAAGTGTTTTGTATGAATGATAACCTATTAGCTTAAACACAGCTTTGAATTAATAGACTACAGGTTCAAACCTCATTTAGTCTTCTATTTAAACAACTGAGTAGCATCGTTTAGTTGTGATCGGAAACTTGAGTAATAGACTTATACTTGGCAACTGAGCTGATAGATTAGTAGATAACAATTAAGTAATTTGAAACTGACGTTTCATCAATTAACATATTCTTTTATATGACTCGACTTCAATGTTATGTTTTAAAGTTCAAGACGTTTAATGCTATTTAAGGTTTTTTCATTATTCTTAAAAAAACACATCACATGAACAATAGCATTATATTCACAATGACTGAAATCCCTTAGTCCAATAACCTAAATTATATACTCGATTGTTTCTAGAATAATTACTTCTGATAAGCAGCTGTTGCCTATATTGTCTTCCTATATGTAGTATGTCTGGTATAGAATGATAAGTAGTATCGCATTTGTCAATTAATATGTATAGACAGTGAAGTGCTCGTGGCAAGTCCTAGTGATTTTGTACTCACTTTTATGACCCACTGATATGACTCCAATTTGATAGACCGATGTTAACCAACTATACATGTCGTCAACCCTCGTATACAATTATTGACCTAATTCGCATCAGAGAATAACGGAATAAAATAAGTCGAATATGATCATGAATTTTGGATATGTATATATCATACATTCGTTGATCCAGACAGAATGTCAATCAGAATACTGTTTACAAGAGGCCATCCTAACTTTGAACCTTAATACTGTGCTTACACCATTAAAATCACTAGAGCTTACTGTCAAGTATTTCTGAAATGTGAATCGACTTAGATCTTCACATCAATTAGGTATAAAGTCAAATTGGTAATCCGATTTGGATTTTGTATGTTTATTCTAGAGGCGCAGAAAATATCCTAGATAAAGGATTCTTCGATACCTTAGGTACAATTGTGGTGTGTGTTTCTGGTGTCGACAGATGTAAGTAGTATGTATCACCAATCGAAAGTGAAATTCCTGACGACACAAGGTTAACAAGATCGAATAAAAGAGAAAGAGAACAGAGAATAATTGGTGTGGAAACGAATGCACAATGATGTCTGAGACGATTGATTGACATTTTGTAAATGAAATATTTACTGTATGATTCTCAGATTTTACCAAGATATTCTGTAATTTTGCATTTAAATACATTTGGTTGTCCTCACTTGTGTTCTCGTTCACTACACCACGACCAAAAGTCAGTGACATTGACGCAGATGGACTCAGCGTTTAACTTCCTCTAAATCGTAAGCCTATTATTATCACATACTTCTCATTCTTCGAACCTTGTTTGCCCTTTTGAAACTAGGCTTCTTGTTTTTCTAGTTTTCTACCCCTGTTCATATTTTATATTATTCTCCGTTCTGCTTTTTATATGGCTAGTTTCCTATCACCGTGCTAATGTGGAGTCTGGCAGCTTAAATAAATAAACGGTAGCCTTAGGTACTTCCTTTTAATTTCTGTTTGAGATTGTTATAAATCAGACTGCCCCTAAATGCCCTGGTACGGCCGAGAGTGGCGAGAGTCCGCTCTCCCTCTCGCAATGCTCTCACATGGCCACGCGTATATGGCCTCTACCAGGGAAGTCCTACTCACTGCTTTCTCGTGGCTGGGTGTTGTTTACGAAAATGAGAGGACGAAAAGCGAATGTCCGGCGCTTTAACCGGATTCCAAACCAATGGTGCACATGGGCTCCAGTATCCTGCGGGAACAAATGGCGTATGAACCAATCGTTGGTCACCGGCTACCATGGGACTGCATCTCCTTACGATGCTCCACTGCTTTGTGGATCAGACCTTCAGGTCGAAGGCTCGGGGTGTGGCCTTCTAAGACAACCACCTGCTTCGGTTTGGGCACCCCGGGCAGTATCACAGCCCTCACACATATCGAATGAGATCTGTGTGGCGCATATGTATTTGGTGCCTCCTTGTACCAATATCTATGTGTTAAAATAATAATAATAATAATAATAATAATAATAATAATAATAATAAATCAGACTTATTTCTCCCTAAGTACCGATCTCTGTTTTGCAGCTAATACAAAATAAATATTATTGTGATATACTCTAGAACCCAAATAGTGGGGGCTTTATGTAATGTAACAATTTGAAAAAATATCTAGTTACTGGTTATATGATCACCAGTTGGAGATTGTTAGTATGAAAAGATTGTTGCATTTCTAATAAGTTGACGTAAAATATTTATCGTGATACATGTGTTATGCATTTAAACCTACATGTGATCCTTTAACAACATCATCTGACTTTTCATCATCTGTCATTATCGTCGTCATCATCATCATCATCACAATAAAGGCTTATTGTTGTTATCATTAATATTTCTTGAGCCAAATTTTGATTATCAAATTTTACCTTTGCATTGTATGATAATAATTTTGTAGTTTTACAATATACACTTATTATTATCCAATGTAATATTGCTTCAAAATAGCCTCTAAAAGTCGTCGATGGCGCGTTATATTTTTGGGTGGAGGGGTTAAATTAGCCTCAGAGTATGTTGATGCAGAAGATGGTCGTCCAATATGGAATTGTGAAGTAACATTGTAAGTGAAATTCTAAACTGATAAATATTACAATTCTTATGTAATCACCTTTTTAAAATCTTTATCTAATTAATTTAGTGGTTTATCTAAGATATCGTCAACAAATTTGTTAGACTGTTAAATGTTGAATTGTGTGTATATGTTCAAAAAGAATTCACTTTCCAGCTGCTTTAATAATCAAAGCTGTATAAACTATAGAATGATAGTCGATAAGTTTTACATTTGGCATAGAACTGTGAAATAATTGTCCAACAGAAATCGTATCACTGGTCCTGGTTTAAAAAAAAAAGAAAATTTACATGATTTCGACTCTTATACTATTCATCTTGTTAATTTCATCTCGTCGTGCTAATGTGATATGGTAACTTGGGTTAACACATATTTGTTTCTGACTTTATTTTACTTATGAATGACGGTTTAGTCAGTTGGCTTATGTAAATAATGATATCATCCACTTCTTGTTCCTAGTTATTAGGACACTACTTTCATTTTTCATCCTTTAACATTGGAATTTTAATGTAATTTGATTCAGAGTGCATACTGTTGTAAGGGTAAATATATATTTTTTGAAATAAATGATTTAGTAGGCACTCCACATTGTTACTGACTTCTTTGGTTTTAACTGATCTAACTAAGCTAAGGGTTCTCAGTTCACTATCCTACTCATTTTTCGGCGCCGTTCACTTAAGACGTTTCTTTCAATTCTAAAAGTAGGCCCATGTCCATCTACTTTATGTGCGACCAAACATGTCATCCGTCCTGATCATTATAGTTTTCTTCGTCATTATATGTGAAAGTAACGTGCTTTTCGTGAGTAAAACCTGAAAAGAGGGGTTTCAAGGGGCTTTTTAACACGTACTTATGTTTTACATACTCTGTATCATACCGTAGCTAAATGTGCCATACTAGGTTTATTGTGATTAAGCTATAGAATCTAAGAATGTTTTATTGGACAGGATATTGAAAATATGATCCTATGCAGGTTATGTGAAGTAAGTGCTGCGTCAGTAGGCTCCTGAAAATGTTAGGTTCCGGTAATTTAAGATGTTAAGTACTATATTCTCGACTATGGGTCACATGACAATTGTTTAGTAGTTTACCCTTTTTTTCAAAATTATCTTATGAAATAGTTATTCTAGTGTATATAAGCGTAATGAATGAAATCTCAGCAAGTTTAAGCCACACAGAAATCAGTTATTTCGCATATACGTAAGCTGTTAGTATGGTTTATATTTACAAAAGATGTAACAAGGTACAGTTTTTAATGATGCGATTGTCGTTCTGTTTTTGTAGACAAGTGGTAAGTGGTGTATTATTGTACGTTAATATCTCTTTTCATGCTTTTGTGTTGTCTTTTCTTAAATAGAGATTTGATTAGTCCGTCAGATCCAGTTACTTTACTTGTTGTCGATGGAGATAATCATCATATAGGTCAAGTTGATATCCCCTTAAATCAAGTTCCCCAAACTGGCAATCCAAATTTCGACTTATCACGGTTATGTTATTCTGATTTAAAAGCGAAGCGAAAAAATGCTAATGCACATGGACGTTTAGTTTATTGGATTTGGGCTATTGACTACTGGCCTCCAGGAACTCAAGCTAATACTGTACACCATTCTAAATCATTACGTGGTTCACTTACAAATCTTAGTTCGAAAATACGTTCAAAGTAAGATATGTGTTCTGTTTATTCATTATTTACTTCAACTATCATTATAGATATTTGTCTACGTTAGACAATGAAAATATGAAGAGTTATAATAGTTGAGCTTTATCTATTTGACTGTCAATTATGATTTACTCATTATTATGTACAATTATTGTAACATGTATACGTGCGTGATATTAATTGCTTCTTATTCAAAAAACAACATCGAAAAACTTAGTTTCTATGCTCATTGGATAGTGTGAGCAGCTGTATTTTAGTTGAAGGGGTATCACATTATATCACGAATTAATCGAAGTTGTAATTTGTCGTATGGGCTCCAATCTGCTGGTTCTAATGGTTAAACATCCGTTTCGAGACCAGAAGGTTCCAGGTTCAATCCCGATGTGGATCATATGTGCACACTTTTGATGAGCCATATATTAAGACGAAATGTCTATCCAAAGGCTCTCTAGCTTTTTCAGACATTTGTGTTTGTTAGCTTACTACTAGGTGATGTATTATTATAATGATTTCGGTTGAGTTCATTAAGATTAATTTAATTTTTAGGTGGTATTTGGCGTAAATTGACAACAGTTTTGATACTGTTGTAAACTAGAGAGTACTGAATTTTTATTTTGTTGTATTATGAAATTTATTGACAATCCTCAGTCCTTACACTGTTAATAATTGAGATCAGGACTTTAACGTCTTGTGCGCTGCCTTTAGACGACCTCTGAGTAGAAATCCAGTATTTTTATTTACTATTATCGCATTTTCGTTTTTTCGGATAACAATATAGAATGATATTGTTTAACTCTAGTTTACTATACTTTTATTTATTAATTAGATCTAAGCATAGATCCAAAAATGATAATGATTACACTAATGGTTATCAAAAAAGGGAAATTAATGGTTCATCCGGTACTTTACAAGTACCCGGTATGTCATATAATCCATTTGAAAATGATGGTACTGTAAGTGAATTCAGTGGACCAATGGGTTTACCACCAATGTATCAATCACATTCAAATAGTCCATATGCTCAATCAGAATTTGGTGGATCACTTGCAGGCAGTATAAAATCTAGTAAGAAATTGCTTATTGTTAGAAAATATTTTTTGTTTATAAATCAATGTACAAATGTATGGTAGTTTATTTGAAATATATCTTAATTAGTTAACAAATACTTCGTGTTATATGGTGAATATTTTTCTTCAGTTTATGAGGAGGATTTTACTTGTTCTTTGTTGTGTTCACAGGGTTCAACAGTTTAATTATAAAGTTTGTAGACAACCTTATCAGGATGTACTTTAGGATTGGATAAATTAAAGTTTTTCCACAGTTCATTTTGTGGATAAAAAATTCTTCTGGATTATCGTCAATAATTGTGTTGTCACCGTCTGAAGGTAATCAACAAGAAGTCCCTAAACCTAGGTTTTGTCGTAGATAGTACTCAGCATAACATGTTCTTCGTAAGATTTTTGAGCATATTTCATACAACGTTATATAAATAGCTTTTCCTTACGATTTATTCAGTCTACAATTGAGCTTCTGTAGAACTAAGATACGTTTTTCCATTAAGTATTCATTGAACACACTAACCAGCGTTGTTTTATGTAATTTTCAGTATTAATCGAATACAATCGATCAGCTTTTTGATAATTACTCAATGACTTAAGTGTCAAGTTTCCAAAATACTGTCTTGTCTTTGTGTAGAGAGAGCAGCTAACAAGTTTTGGCAAATTTTTCATTTCGTGAATAATTGTTATATACTCTTGATTTATACACCAATCTCAAGTTCGTTAAACTTATTATCATTGTTGTGTGTGTGTGTGAACTGAAATTTAGATATACATATCGTTATTTTGTTTCTGTGTAGTAGCCCAAGCAATATTCTATTTAATTTGTTTCATGCATTTAAAATAAAAAGTATGTTCATCAGTACGCTTTCAAAAATGTTTTTTCTCGCAGGCAAATGAAATGAATTTTAGACATTTCCTTTATCTGCGTTTTATGCCACGCCCTGTTTCAACATAAATTCAGTCTTTGTACTTTAATCTCAATTAGTATGGCATATATATATGAGATTATAAACCAACCAAAGTCAAAGAACCATTGAGAACCAGAAAGCACTGGAAAACTATTTCGTCATAGTATGGGACTTCTCAAGAGTTCTCATCTTTAACCCCATCGGGGATCGTAACCGGGACTCCCATTTCACGTGGCGAACGCGTGACGTTTAGACCACTAACTTCGCACCCAGTCATTTGAGGGATATTACTCGCCCGTATTTGTGCATGTGTTCGTTAACAAATTGATTGTTTATATTTTATTATGTAAGCGTACATTTCATCAGTAGTCTTCTGTTGGTTTTATAGTGATCCCATTATATAATGATTAGATAGTTTAAATTACTGGAAACTGCCACTTCATTAGTTGTCAGTATTTGTAATCCGTTGATTACAAACATTGAAGTGACTATTTACTATAACTAGTCAAGTGATTCACATGGGAAGTTGTATAAGCCAGAGTTTCATCAACTAAATGCATCCGCTTACCTAAAAAGTTAAGAGCGATACATTATTTAGTGGTTAAAGCACATGAACGATTTGGTCATAGATTCTAATTTCACTCCACTTTGGTTTGGGAAGTTGGTTAGTATCACTAGCTCTTGTACGAACATTGTAGCTGATACATGTACATTCAGTTGACGGGTCCCAAATATGTCGAAATGCTATTCCAACCTTAACCAAAAGGTGTGACTGAAAGCTGAGAAAGTAAACCTGTGCTCAGTAAATGAGTTTAGTTTTCAAGACCTGGGGATAGATTATTCTACCTTTCAAAAATTGTGTCATCATTAAATGAATAAGATGGGTCTTTTTGAATATTTGACGTAGTCCGTAGCCAGTTACTTTTATTGCTATGGATAGAGTTTAAATAAAGGCGGTTGTTTGATCACTGAGTGTTGACCAATGTGTCGTTTGCCTAGTGTTGATCGAGTTCCATCGACAAGGTTGGGCTATGGCCACTAGTCAAAGTAACTCGATATCGCGCGCACCACGTTGAGATGTAGGGTAGTTGGAGGTAGTTGATAGAAACCGCGGACGTAAGTCTCTTAATATTTGACACTCTTCAGTAGGGTTTACCTATATTCTTATGGGAACTGGTAGTCCATGGAGAATTGGATCCCATGTCATCCAGTTTAACGAATGAAACTGTTAGTGTTAACTCATGGTAATTAAATGTAAAGCAATGCTTAAACGAATATACTATTGTGTCATATGGGAACTAAATTATATTTTCAATGTCATTGACTTTCATTCTGAGCTGTGTTAGGAAACATTGCGAAGCATTACACAAAAATTGTTGACAGTAGCACCTCCATCTTTCTGTTAAAGTTGAACTGAATATCGTTTCGTATTCTTCACATTTCCTGATTTTATTCGTTTCTGTTAAAATGTAGTTTGTATTTAGCTAACCACTACCAGTGGGATTATTATTTCCATTCTATTTACTACTTAGTTTCCTGTCATTGTGTTAATCTAGTATCGAGAATTAAACGGATACAGTTAGTCAGTAACAACGTGTAAATTCGTACGTACACACATCACTAAACGGAACAGTAAGGACTCGGAAAGGTAGGGACACTCGTCGTTGCCTCTTCGTAGTCTCTCTCTCTCTCCTACTGACTGCAGCTCAGACGATGTAAAAGATGAGTTTTACAGAAAGCTTTCCGACCTCCGAAAAGCTAGGCGCTCTGATGTAGTAATAGTGGTTGGTGACTTTAATGCTCAAATAGGTAAACTCTAAGAGGAAGGGAAAGACACCTTGGTGGATCTTGCGGCTCAAAGAACAGATAATGACAACCGTCTGTTGCAGATTTTATGCTGTTTATTTCTGTCTGTATCATGTCTCATATTATTCTAATCAGTTCACTAATTAAGTGATAGAAGTGACTTTCGTTTTACTTCAATGAACACATAGATGAGTTATGCTTTAAATTTTGTACGTAACTAGAGACCCATTCAGTAGTATTCAACTTCGCAATGTGTTGTTATTGTTATTGTAATAAATATCGACTTTCAACTTCATTACCATAAATTCTATAAATTAGCATACATTTGTCTTATTAATCAAATATACACTAGTTTTATGCATAAAAAACGTTTTTTCCTTTTTTAAATTGATCACGATAGTTGTGTTTTTTTAAAGCTTGTTTACGGCAATGTTTACTTACTAATTGTTTATATATAGTATGTATCCGTTTTTAAGCATAATGTTTTCTTAATTATAAAAATTGTGTATTTCAATTCATGTCTTGTCCTTTTCTATTTATGTCTAGGATCTACTGTGATTTACTGTTATTTTGTGTGTGTATAGCTTTCTATATTTGGTCCTGGTTATTTGATTGATTAAGTAACAGTCAATTCTTTTTCTTTTATTATAGCACATAAATTATAGTAAGAGTAGGTCACCAAAACAATGCACCACACATATATTTAGTGATTACATTCATTTTACAACTTCTGTGTCATCTTTTCTCTTCATTATCTATAAATAAATAAAAAAGATCGTTAATAATGTAGCCAAATGTAGATGTTCGGTGCTTGATTACGGCTAATATGGCATACGACTTTAGCCCTTGAACGTGTAGAACCCTTGTAGTGAACAAGAACACGGGTGGGGACAAACAGATGTATTTAGCACAACAATTACAGTCTATCTCAACAAAATCTGAATACCATATAGTCAATCGTCAATTTGCAACATATTCATTCATCAAACCAAACTGGACTGTTTCTGTTGCAAACACCAATCCATTGTCTCCCATTCCATTGTTCGTGCATTTTCTTACAAATTCCAATGTGTTCTCGCTCTACCTTTCTTGATCTTCGCGATCTTCCGCTGCCAGACATTACGTTCCTTTAACGCACGTTATATACTACTTATATCAATATAAGTAGCTCACACCACACCCTCAATTCGCAAATATAATGAAATCACGCCAAGTCGATATTTTAAAAATCCTGTCAGGCTGTGACTGAGAGGAATTTTTTCGGATTCTTTAGAACCTTTGAAGCTTTAATCATTCTTTCTAGGAGCTGTCCCAACACCAAGAAAGTTTGCTTTTATTTAAAGGTGATAACTTGTTGTTTATAAAGAATGTAATTAGAAATTACAGCAGGATCGTCACTGGATAGTTGGACAATTTGTATGACCTCAATTTGGGTGTCGTGCTGAACTGAATGACTTTCCAATAAACTGATTCATCATTCCTTGTCTCGGCTTGCTCACGTTCTGTACTGATGTTAGTTACTGATTGTTTCTAGTGCACATACATATATGCACTGTAATGCTTTTTATTTTATGTATGTCACCATATTATATTTATACTTTCAGAAATGGTTTCGATTCTTAACTTCTAATAAAACGGAGCGGCACGTTTAAATTTCGGTTCTAAATTTTCATAAAAATATTGGTTACTTCTTGGTCTCATATATTTTGTTATCTGTGAGCTCTACCAAGTGTATTCATTTTGATGGTATCTTGCTCATTATCAGCGTACCTGAAAATTGATGTATTTGTTCACACATTTGGTTTATATATTTGCCATAACTTTCTCTCATGAAACTAACTGTAATCAGTCTGTACATAATAATGCTACAGCGTTCTGCCTTTAATGGTTTAACATTTAGTCTGAAGCTACCTTGTCTGGTAGTAGGGGTAGTGTGATGAGGAGCACCGTGTGTGAGAGGATCTGAAAGGGAAGAGAACAAGAAAAAAGTGAACTAATAACTCAGTAAGTACGCACAGTACACTTCAGTTCAATAATGAGAACAATCGGCAACAGTTAGAAATAACACATGCGTGAGATTACGGAAATGTGGCAGTCGAAACCAGAAGTTGACGGTGTAAGTTTTTGAATGCTAGAACAAGACTGCTATGTCGGTGCAATAAAGAAAACATAACTCTAGAAGCAGATTGATTTATTCACCGGTCATTAATTAGACGATATCCAAAATAATAATAATAATAAATTACATATCATTTTAAATGTTTTTACCAATCAATGAGTTAGAATAAATCGAGCTCGCTATTAATCAACAATCTGATGTGTGGATATCATTTGCGTACCCAATAAATCAACTGACTTAATTCAGAAACACAATTTAACATTGAATTATGAATTTGTTTTCTTGACAAGTGCCAATAATTATTGGTGAATTGTTACTAGCAGTGGAATCCAGAACCCGCAATTCGTCCTATTTCGGACTGATCAGCTGAATGTACCTGTATCCCAGTGTTGATTCCCGTACCAGGAATCGAATTATTGGATGCTGGTCCAGTGGATTAGAGGATTGCACTCAATATCAGAAGTTCATAGTTCTGTCCCATACGAAGGTGCTATAGCTGTTCAGAGGAGTTCCTGGTTTCAAGTGTTGGTCTAGCTAATATCAGTTCATGAATTGAACTATAGAAATGGATTTGCGTTAAAGCAATTAGTCCCTTTTACCGATTATTGGATAAACTCAATGGTGTTCAAAACGGTATTGTGATGACACATGAATCAGAAAGTAATGGCCAATTAGCCTTTCTAGACATACTTTTAAGTCGAAGGGATGATGGCACTATTAGATGGTCAGTGTATAGGAAACCAACTTGGACGGGACAGTATTTAAATTTCCATAGTTTCTGTCCATTGCAATACAAGAGAAGTCTGGTTAAGTGCCTCTTTAAGAGGACTCGAAGAATATGTACCTCCGACATGTTGGAAAAAGATGAAAAGTTACTGACTTACACATTAATAGCAAATGGTTATCCACTCAAGTTTATTAATAGGTGCAAAAGTCAGTTAATGCCAAGACCTCTAACTTATTCAGTGCCAAAGAAAAAAAGTTTTTATATCAATCTATCATATAGAGGCGAATCTAACAGTATAGTCTTAAGGCAGAGATTGAAAGCAGCCATCGAGAATACGTATTTTGCTGCTCAGCTGGTAGTGATCGAGAAGTCTAAGGTCATGATTCCTAATAGATCCAAACAATGCACTAATGATTACGTCACATCCCATTGTATTTACCAATTTACATGTTTGTGTGGACACACATACATAGGGAGGAGTAATCGAACAATGCAATCAAGGGTCAATGAACATGTGCCTAGATGGCTTCAAAATCAATGTATGTCAAATGATCTGATCAATGTAGGAGGTAGAAAACCAAGCTCATCGATAGCAAAACATATAATTGAGACGGGGCACAAAAAATAACATTAATACAGCATTTAGAATGTTGTACAGAAATTATCAAGGTCGAATTCTTAAGTTTATTGAAGCCTTGGCTATTCGTAAATTTACCCTCCCCCTTATGTGTACAAAAACAATTTGTCGTAACCTTGAGTTTACCTTGGTAATCCTTAAGTCATTCTATGGCCTAGGATAACGCGACAATTTCTTATTATTTCTCCCCCTCTCTTTGTTATTTTAATTGTACTTTTATTTGTTTGACCTTTATTAATTTTCATATAAAAAAATTTTCATATAAAATTCATTCGCTGAGATTTTACAAATATATTCTTCTTTTTAATGTCCCTGACAAGTATATGTGACCAGATTGTTCGAAACGTATAGCGCTAATACATCACGTTTTTCAGATCAACTCCGTCTTCTCATTGTTTTATCGGGATTTGCGTTAGTCGCTTATTATTTACCTATTTGACTGTCGATAGTATTGAAACGATGTTTATTTGAAGGGATCTTTAGTGTGCTATTGTTACTGTGGGCAAAAAATCAATGCGTAACATTAGTTTGTTATTCTTCAGGAGGTTTATTTGTTTGCACGTGGTGATTTCAAATTGGTATGTAAGATAGTAAAAATTAGTTTCATCCTAAAAAATGAACTTCTATAGACTAACTACAATTTATTCTTTCAAACCTACTATGTATATTACGTTTTTTATTTAATGAATTCACTAAAAAAGTTAGATTGGTACTTTCTTGTTTGTGAATCAGATAATCATTACTATAATTAGAGGTTATAATTATGAAGTATGTTAAAATTCGTTAAAAAAGTTTTGTATTCCATACATTTTTAACTAGTCACTTTTGAAAGGGGTTTGTAGAACGTTATCATACCACACCTCTGATTTATTTACCTTACACTACTTGTATTACCGATTATATGATAAATCCCTCCCTCCAAATATTAGTTCGGTGATAAAGTTGGAAATTTAGAATTCAGTACTGTGATATATGTATACATGGACCTATTTTTATATCTGGTAGTTTTGTTTTTGATATCTGTTCTTTTGGAACAAGGAAGGTTGAGTCAATATTCCGCTACGATCAATCGTTACCACTCGGTGACATCATATTATCATGTCCATATATCAATCAGAATCCTATTGAAATCTTAACCCATAGTATCCATATTAACTGTCTGAATAATATTTTATGTTTTCATAATCAGATAAATGTGATAGTTATTACTTTTTGACTTGAATGACAGTTTTCAGTACTTAGACTTAATGTAATAAAACATTTTCTACTTGAGTTATTCACAGATTCTGTCTTTCATTTTATTTAACATGTTAAAATGTAAAGTTAATGAATTTTCTTCTTCCTGATGAAGATAGATGATGGCTAGCGAATAAGTTAAGAATGTCCTTTTTGTTCTCTTTTCTTGAAGATTTTTCGGTTTCATTCCGTAGCTGATGTGTCCTGACTGGAACGAAGTGCACTTTTGAATTTCTACTGTTAGTTACAATCCATCTTTAATAAAAATTAATGGCTAAATAGCTATGTGAAGGTAATGCAGTCAGGATGCTTATATGTCATTTAGAGTCCTTGATGTCGGCAATAGAAATATGCATTTCTTTAAAATGGATATATTAAAAGTAGAGATATTTAGAGTAAACTGTAGTCAAATATAGATGATTACTTTCAACTTAACTTGCTGTTATGTCCCGATAAGAATAATGAATGGCAACTTTTGGGATCCATTTATGGACCAATACTAAACGTATATTTCTATTGTATAATTATTAAGTAACTGAACTATGCATATTCATATTCCTCTTATTATAAGCTTTATTTTGACCCATAAACTATTATTATACGTTTTACCATTCTTGAGTTATGTCCAGTATATTAATTAATACCTCCCTCATTCACAGCCACATCTGGTTAATTCTTGTACAAATGTTTCATATTTTATTGGTACGTTGTGATCTGTTTAATTGGTATATAAACTCAGTATGTTTGAAATATAATGATTCATATCGCAGTGGCTCGGATTAGTGTTCTGGACTTAACTGGCTGGGCTAGGTGAAGAGCAGACCAATCAAGACTCTAGGCTACTCGCATGTGTTTTACGCGTCATTGATCCGATCGATAAGTCACTGCTCTCTAATCGGCGGTCACAAGATATAACACTTACTATTTGTCGTTTTCAGATATTATAGTCGATCACTTGAGTGAATAATTTTCTTAAAAAATGTAACAACATTAAATTGACATAGAATGTGTGCGCTTATGTATACCTTATTTCAGAGTTAATTTGTTAAACTGCATTCAACATTACCTTTCATTTCATGGTACTATTTTAGAAAAAATCAGTTTTCTTTACGAACTGAAATTGAAAAACAACCTAGTGCTGAATAGCTGTTTCCTTTTTCATTCAGAACTCTCCTCTATTACTTAACCATTACACCTCGTGGTGATTCGACACTAGGATTTTCAAACATCGTGGCAATACATAGTACCATAAAATTAATAAGTGGAAATTAAATTTTGCACATTTGTTTTCAGCCGGTTCATAATACTCATTTATTATTATTACCATTATAAGCCCCCAAAATGTCCTGATACGGCCCAAGGTGAATGTCAGCTGTCCCTCTTGAAACGCTCTCACAAGGCTACGCGTATACAGCCACTGTCACGGAAGTCCTACTTACTGCCTTCTCATAATAGAGCTGTTGTTCACGAAATTGCTCCATTGCCTTGTGGATTAAGCCTCTAGTTTAAAGGCTCTACCAGTGTCCCCTTAAGGAAACTACATACTTTGGTTTGGGCTCCCGGACTGTATTCCAACCCCCACACATATCGAATGATTTGTGTGGCACATATTTGATGCCTCCTTGTACCAATGTTTATGTGTTTACATCAATATATAGGCTTTCCCTTTTCTCAAACAATTATTTCGCAGATCATGTGTAATATGATCGGTATTTTAGTAAATATCAGTTTGTTTAAAATAATTCAATTCTTATTTTTACTATTTTTTTGTTGGTTTATTGAGACTGGGCTCGATTGATTTATTCTTTCATAACCATGATGCCTTAAGGCTCTTTTTTGAGCTTATCGTTCAAATATTCGGTTCATGTATCAATCACGAGGAATATAGCGTTTATCGAGTTACACAATCTAATCAATGGTTCGTCTAAATGAATCATATTTTTATATATTTTCTCATTTGTAGTGAGTTCACTGAGAGATATTCACGTACTGTTTCCTTCATTTTTTAATGTAAGAATGTCTATAAATGTTTTTTTTTCTGTAATAGCTAAACAAAAAAATATGTTGAAGAAATTTAAATCGAAACTTTCGCATAGTACACTTAATTTGGCTGAAGCAGCAGCTAAAAAAGCTGCTGGAAAAGATCCTTACTTTCAAAGTCTTGAAAAAGGGTAAGTAGATTGATGTTTCCATTCGCATACTTCCTTTTTTATCATTGGTAAACTGTTTCAATGTTGTTTATTAAAGTTTTTCATTCACACAAATGTGAATAATTGTTATAAGAGAAGTATAGTAAATAGTTTTAATTCCTGTTAATCATTTCTTATCAAGCGATAATTTAGTACTTAAATTACTCTTGACTTTCTGTTCTAACTTGATTTTGACTATCCAATTCGAAAATGTCAACACAGCGGAATTTAAAGGTAATGCAAAGATGACACCAGTAGGTCAATTCATTCAGTTACTCTTTATCACTATGCCCCTTTTCCCCTAATACTGTTAAAACAATCCCCAACCATATTGCGAAGATCAGAGGAAGATAGACGTAGGATAAAGCTGAGAAGAATATCTGTATATCAAGCCGAAATACCACTGTTTTATACACAGATTCACTTTACAGTAATCAATAATTAGATAGTTGAATTCATACGTCAATTAAAGCTAGACCACCATGGAAAACCTAGAAGTTCTGGACGACCGAGTCGTCCTAGTATGGAACTCCTTAGCAGTGCTCATCCATGATCCCGCTCGTGGGATTCGAACCCAGGACCTATCGGTTTCGTGCGCGAACGCCTAGCCTCCACATCACTGAGCCAGTATCCAACGGCATTAATGTCTAACTTCAAGCAATCCTTATATGTATATATACATAGCATTCGATCTACACTAAGAAGGACTTGACACACATGACATTGATCACCACCCTGTGATCAATCGATTGTGATGTATATATATATTAGATTTTACTGCTACAAATCTTACTGATTGGCACTGGAAATCATTCTTACTGATACTGGAGAACGAAGATGTTAAGATAGAGAATACCAAAGGCTCTACCATTTTGTGGAGTTTCGAATTTGAATCAGCTAGTCATTAGCTCTATTATACGATATTTCACTACGGATGGTATTTAAGAGTAGATTTCAGGACGCCTATTGAACACTTTGAATATGTCATCTGAATACTCTTTCTTCCAAGTGAGATTTGAACCTCAAACCTTATTGCTTCTAGCTCTTAAGAGTTATTATGCACTAGCCTACAGATTTGGTAAGACCACCATTATTTAAACGGTTATGATAATGAATAATAATTTCATGGCGTTAGGAATGGTTTGTATTTTTCCATTGTTGATATTTAGGATTATAATTGATCTGTCTCTGTATATGTGCCATTTAAGCATCCTGAGCGGATCGCTTCTAAAGAACACTATATCACAAGTTTTAGTATACTTTTTTATGTATCTGTCAGTGAAATCCAAGACACACATTTCGTCTTACTTGTGATTTTTCAGGTAGATATGCCTGCATCATCCTAGTGTTGATGTTCACACTGAGACTCGAATTTATTACCTTTCATTTTCAACTTCCAACATAATATCCGTTGAATATCATTTACTGTATATCATAAAATCATATAATTATTTTCATACCAGTTGAATACGTTTCTAACTATCTAGACTCAGTAGCTCATTGGATAACGTGTTGAGAATTTGTAGCAAAGCTTACTAGATTTAGGTCCCATTTTGACCATCTATACTGAGATGCAGATGTATTCACTAATTGCACTGCTGACTACATACCGACTGTACTAGATTTTTGTGGCTTTTCAAATGTATACAAATACTAATGCTTACTAGAATTCAGATATTTCTGTTACTATTAGCCCTATAACTAACATCAAATGTTATTTACCCAACTTAAGTTCTCTTTACTATCAAAATACTTTCATATAAAACCTAGTGGTACAATATTTTTGGAAATAAATGCTTTTTGTCCAAATAACCGATCCTGATTTCAGTTTTGTGCAATCATGCACAGTACATTTCGATTGCAAAGTAAATCATCTATCGTTGTATATTCCCACTATTGTATACTTCATTTATTTTTAATCTCATTTATATTGTATTTATTCTTGTATTAGCCTCTCATTTAACCTCTACTATGAAAACAAAATAAACGTATTAAGTTTTATGTTTGTTTGTCCTTTTTTATCATCAATTAATCTACATCTTTTGTGTTTTATTTACTCTTATAGATCAAAATCAAATTTAAGAGGGTAAGTTGTACATAGCTCTAACTGGTGTGTATTTTTCTCTCTTTCTGTATGTGTGTAGTTGTTTGTTTTAATAATCAATTATTATTTTTAATTAAATATTTATGTTAACAGTTACAAAAAAGTTACTGAAAATAGCAACCTTTAAAAACTTTTTTGTTGCTTAAATTATTCATACTACATAAGATATTATAAACAAAGGTGGATAGTGCCTAGCAATGAAATCCAGGACATGCGTTTCGTTCTGTTTAGGAATTGTCAGCTGGATGTACCTGCAATATCGAAGGAATCCGCACAGGATGCACATATTCTAATAAGTGACTGATCAATTGCATTTCTAAACATCAATGAGAAGATTCAAACAAGCTATACAAAATGAATTTACATAAGATATTGTTTCCAAAGTATCTATACTGCACTTTAATCGCTTCAACTTCAATGTTCTTTCTTCTGGATACTTCCTGAAGATTGATAAATATTTAGTTATGGGAAAAGTTGATGGTTTCTATGCCTGTTAAAATAAATTTGGCTAGTTCTTTGACAGATTTCAAATATCATTTCATAACTCAATTCATAGAAAAGTCGAACGATTCTTCTCTAACCCTGTTAGTACTTCATGTGCAATACAAGATTAAAATTGCTTCAAAAGTTCAAGAGAGAAGTGTTTAAACATTCAAAGTATTACTTGAAAGCTTATCAGCCAAGTGATATACAAATCAGTATGGTACTTTAATTAAAAATGAAATGTTATCAATCGAGGTAGTTATTAAATTGTCTTATAAAAGTATTTTGTTATTACTATAAGTATAAATTTGAAATTTATTTCTGTGAACATAGTTTTCCTTTGTGGAATTGTTGTGTTTGAAGAGATTACCAGGTCACCTAAAAATCGGCAAACTGAATGAATAGTGAGTGACAGAAGAAGACAGCTAATGTGTTTCAGCCCAGCTAACTAGAGGGAGAAGTCCATATTCAGATAAGGGAAAGTATATTACACAAGCAACCGGAAGCACGAACAACAAGCACACAACTCAAACATATATATATATATATATATATATATATATATATATATATATATATATATATATATATATATATATATATACAGCAGGCTGATGGTATCCGGCCAACGGACATTGAGTATTTTGCGTAGACAGTTGTCCTATAGAAAACAACGTCGCAAGAGAATGCTAACTAGAATAAACAATTTAAACGCTAAACCTGATACAAATACACATAAGATATGAGTATAATTGGGTACCAAAATATGGGCACCATATTAAGAAAGATATGACATTGTGAAGGTGGAAGGAAGGATACGAGATTCAGTCGGGGAAAAGTCTAGATAAAAGTATAACCAAGATTGACTTTTTTCAATCAAAAAAACGTTATTCTCACTTCTATGATGAATACGAAGAAAACGTATAGTCGAATCACCAATCGCTTACATTCTAAGACATTTATGATAACTTCTAGAAGCACTGAGTTACACAATCTGTACGACTCTAACCAAGGAGTTATGGTTTACTGATGTATCCTAGTCCCATGTTTCTTCCATACTACAGCGCCATGTCATAAATCATCATTTACGTGGTCCCATAGGGAGGCATTTGATTACTGCATCACAAGATAGGAAGCTCAAATACAACACCTTATCTCATCTAACTTGAACTGTCGATAAATAAGGATTAAACTGATTAATGATCTGTATAAATTACTTGATTATTTATGTGAACTGTAGTATTAATACTCTGTATACGTGATTATTATACACAAAAATATGTCAGGAATTATTTTTCATCTAAATTACAAAATAAATGAATGTTTATGTAAATATTTTTCAATATTTAAGATTTCGTTTTGTCTTTCTTATTTTGGTAGACATTGACTTTGATGACCCATAAAGTGTTACAATTATATAATGTCTAATTTACATAACCTTATTTATTTATTTATCCTGTTTGAATGCCTTTTTTAAAATCATTAATAATTGCTATGATTATTCGTTGATATTCAATAAATGTTTTGTACATTTTTCAAATATTATTATTATTATTATTTTTATTATTATTATAGAAGTCAATCATCTATTGGCGGGGCATCGTATCGAGGTCAGTTTTAGTGTTGTTTTTATAATGGTTAATGATAATGAATTATCAATATAGGGTTGTGGAGATTATTAAGTTATTGATCATGAACCGGTTAATTTTACCATATGCTCACTAGTGACTAGCTTCGTGAGGGGATTCTCAGAGATCTAGTAAGAAGCCGTGAGCAGTGGAGCTAATCCGTGTCGGGTAGAGACAGGTATCTACCTTAGTACAATGGAAGATGGTCGCGCAATTTCGTGGATTGATCGAGGTTAGACATTAACACAGTTGGATAACGGCTCAGTGTTCCAATAGTTTAAGCGTTCACGCGTGAGACTGAAGGCCTTGGGTTCGAACTTACGAGTGGGATCGTGGATGCGCACTGCTGAGGAGTCCAACGATAGGACGAAACGGTCGTCTAGTGCTTCCAGGTTCTCAATGGTCGTCTAACATCAATCGGCTCATGATCTCAATCGATAATGAAATAATACATTTACATTTTTCGAAAATTATACATCACTATGAATAGATGATTTAGTGGTGATATCGGTAATCACGCTCAGAAGAGTCTAATGTTAACAATGATTACATGTATTAGTAAGGAGATAAATATTAGTAATAATTATGTAAGACCAAAATTAGATGATTTTGTAAGTAATACAAATGAAACAACAACGTCGAGCGTTCATAATCGGGTTGTAGCATGAAGGTGTTGATGATCAAGAAGGAGGGAGTGAGAAAAAGCAGTTTCATAAATTCCTTGTACACACAGAAATATGTATTGGTCAGATAGGGATGCTGATAGCTTCATCCATTAGTAATAGATATGTATATATACACTTCGATAAATTCGATTGAAGACCACAGTTAAATTGAGGGGCTTTATTCATGGCAATTCGGTAAGCTGCTTGGATAATGTCAGTACTAACAGAACTTAATGATAAACCAATTAAAAAATATATTTCTTCGTTCTGTTCATCTTCCTTCTAAAAAAGAAAGGCAATTCAAAGTGCAATGTCCAACAAATCTTTAATCCTATATCATTATTATGTTGCAATTTATAGGTCATATTATCATTATTCCAACTGATGATCAACATTTTCATAAATTTAAACTTATCCCCACAGATACATTATATACGCGTCCTAGCGTTGTGAGCAGTAATAACACCAGCACCAACTATCGATACAACACTAACAGCCGTTTGGTCCCATCGGCTATCATCCCATCTATATCCATAGAATCTCCGGCTCATAAATTGTGTAAAGCAATAATTCATTATATTGATATAACTTCAGTATCCTGCCATTCTATGCTATTTCTACCAGTTGCTCTTCTCACATTGATTGCTTTAAATAATCTGTTAATTTATGCACTTTCGAAATAATACAAATTGTATAGCTCTAGTTAGTTGCTGATAATCGCTGCAAAATCATTTTATGCTTTAGTCTCTAGTTTATACTGAAATACGATTAGTAATGTTTTTTTAATCATTATTATTACAACGCGTGTATTTGGGCTGATTTTTGGAAACATTTGTTGACACTTCTTTTAATATCTCTTCAGTATATATGTTGTTTTTCCAGAGGCTACATAAACTTTTTCGACAGAATCATATTTATATATATCGAGTAGACTGATGAGTTTGTCGTTACTTTTGTTCACTCTTTTTTTCGATCTGTTATACTGATGGTTAGAAAAGGTGAATAGCAGAATTGAAAATAGTGTTTAAATAAAACAGAAATCTAGTAGTGATATCGCTGATGAATAAGTTATTTCGTCAGTAACAGTTTTGTAAATGGTACTAAAACATTGTCATTGATCTGGACCTGTCTTAGGGTTGTGGACACAAAACGTATTTACCCCTATAGCACCTACTATCCATGGTTTTTTTTCTGAAGTAAGAATTCGACTGTCATTGGTTGATTTTTTAAAAACTTTGTATATCTGAGAAAAATGCCGAATAAATGTTTGGTCTTTTTTAATACTGTTTACTCCAATTTCTATGTTCATTAGATCGCTAGCTCAAAAAGACAAGTGATATTCATCATAAATCTTCGTTGCTTTCTTTCATATTCACCTGATCCATGACCACCTCTTTACTGTCATCCTTTCTAGTTTTGATCCTTTCATGTAACAATGTTGTCTTGTTAATCGATAATGTTGAACAAATACTGTATATTCTTAATACGTGAAGTGGAAATCTTATACTTTATAGTATTCTGTTTCATACCCACCAATGTGTAGGTCGACATTTAAATAATCCCCTCCTTTGTTTAACTTCAGTAACGATTTTCACTTTTTTAGATTGATTAATTTCCGAAGGTTTCAATTATCCCGTTGTTGATATTCTTGACTAAATTTTGATCAGCCGTAGTTGTAATATGTACATCCTGTGTGGATTGCCTCGATATAACAATTTTCCCACAGGTTTACTGGGTTCGAGTACCAGTGTTAACATCAATACTGGAATGCAGGTACTTCTAGCTGACGGGTTCCAGACAGGATGAAACGTGCGTCATGGTTTCCATTGCTAACCACAATATATCTCTTTCATGAAAACTGATTGTTACACTTGGCTGGAGCCATAGACTCAGAATTTGTTTTGATTGTTATTCATCAGCAAGTAACGTATGCAATCTTGAAGTATCTAGTGATCCTTCACATATTTCTTTGCACGTTACTCAGTAATGAATTCACGAATGCTGTTACTGAGCTACTTAGCCTGGAACAAACTTGTGAGTGTGAGGTGTTTGGAGCGATAAGTCACCAAATGGCAACTAACCCCATGTAGTACAGCCCCTATCTGTTAATCAGATCGTATCAATCGGCTAAATAATATCAATTAAGTTACAATAAGGTTTTGAGTCTTGTAATTCAGGGGCTACATTACAAGTAGACTGATGAAATTCACTCAACATCCTAGATTAAGATGTATTTATATTTTCGTTTGAACACATGAACATTGGTACAAAGAGGCACCGAATACATATGCGCCACATAAGTCACTTGGTTTGGATGTGGGCTGTCATCCTACTCGGGTGCCCAGACCGAAGCAGGTGGTTTTCTTAGGGGGCCATACCTGGAGCCTTTGACCGAAAGGTCTGGTCCACAAGGTAGTGGAGCAACGTGACTAGACGCAGTCTGATGGTAGCCGGTGATCAATAATTGGTTCATATGCCTTTTATTCCATCAGGATTCTTGAGACCATGTACACCATTGGTTTGGAATCAGGGTTTTCCAAATCCCCTAGATGGACCCTCCGTGTCCACCAAACCAGTTAAAGCTCCGGACATTCACTTTTCGTCCTTTCAATTTTATAATCAGCACCCCCACCGCGAGAAGCCAGTGAGTAAGACTTTCGTGGTAGTGGCTGTATACGCGTGGCCATGTGAGAGTACTTTGAGAAGGAGAGCGGTCTTTCCTCACCCTCATCCCTACTAGGGTATTCGTGGACTAGATTAAATAAGATGACATTAGTTGCTATTCAGTGATTGATTAACATGATTGTTCATTGATATGCTGTAAGTAATAGTTCTCATGTTCAACTTGATTTACTCATAATTTAAAATATAACAGCATATACTGGCACTGAATATAAAATTTTAAAGTAGTACGCTTTTATGCTTGATACTAATAAATTCGACAGTAAATGATTGTTAAGTAACTTCATTTGTTTAATTATATGCGATTGTTCTTGAAGAATGTTCTATCTATCCTGATGTTAAATTGTAGATACTACTTATAACCAATAAAATGAAATTAAAGATTATCTTTAAATTAGATCCGTATTCATTAGTGCTATTTATTAGATATCGGTTATTGTCTTGTCTTTCATTGATACTCACTTAATTATGCTATTTAATTATAAAACAATTGTCTTCTTTTGTTAACATGTACAACTAACTAGAATAATACAAAATATAGAACAGTAGTTCAACAATTCTGTTCAATACGGTCAATTTCTTCTTTGAATAAGTTTGTGTCATTAGTAGAATAAGCATTTAGAGTTATGCCATACTTTTTAAAGAATTTGATTATTTAATTATTACTCTATCCAAAATATTACTGTTCATAGTAATGTAGTTACTTGTATACACAAAATCCTCTTATCATCTGATCAATTTTCTTATCCTTCTAATAAAATTAACGGATTAGTGGTGAATATAATTCTTTTTCTTTATTGTGGTTTCAAATTATTGGGACTATTGGAATGTAACACATCAATCGTAGTGTAATTGGTAAATATTGTTAGCTACTGTAGATTCGGCGTTTTTGTTTTGAAACTTCCCAGACAAGCAATTTTAAATACTGTATTTAATCATTTATTTTTATTTAAACACAAACATTGTTACAAGGAGGCACCAAATACACATACTCCACACAATAACAATGAGATCAGTGGTAGTTATCATTGATTTGTGTGAAAGCTGTGATACTGCCCGGGTGCCCAAACCAAAGCAGGTGGTTTTCTTAGGCGGCCACTCCCCGAGCCTTTAATCTAGAGGTCTAATCTACTAGGCAGTGAAGCAACATTAGGAGATTCAGTTCCATGGTAACCTGTAACCAACGGTTGGTTCATACGCGATTTGTCTCCTCGGGATCCTGAAGCACATGTGCACCATTCGTTTTGGATCAGGGATTCCCAAATGCTCTAGATGGATTCTCAATATCCACCAACCCGATTGAAGCTCTGGACATTCGCTTTTCGTCCTCTCAATTCCATAAACTACAGCCCCACCATGAGAAGACAGTGAGTAGAACTTTTGTGGTTGTAGCTATATACCTATGGCCTTGTGAGGACATTTCGGGAGGGAGAGCTGACTCTCCTACCTTCAGCCGTACCAGGGCATATATAAATATATGGGGAAATATTTCAAGTCCTGGCGTTGTTACTATTTTCCCCCAGTAAACTGCACAATTATTTAATTCGAACAATTGATTTGTTTTCTTAATCTCTGTTGCGTTTTAGCTTACATTTTGTAAAATTATGTCTCAGTCTTTAGAGCTCGTCGGCACTTCTATAGTCTTTGCTTAAATATGCCGCCGTTATTGCTTGGATGTATGCATACATAGTCAGCTGCACAGTATTTCGCTAATCATTAGTTTATTCACCTGCTTGTCTCATTGTTAATCATTCCGTTTTTGTGCTCTGTGTTTAGCTTTTCTTTCTTACATATTCAACAATCGGTTCGTAAGAGAAGCAGAAAAAGTTAGTGAATAAATGATACACCAGGATTGCTGATATTCTAATCTTCATTTTATCATTGTGTCATGATATTTTTCATAAAATTGATAAGTTTTTCAATTCTTTGTTCTATCTTTGATTGTTGGCACCTACATAAATGTAGATGTGCTTCATAGGGATTTTTTAATGTTTCAAGTGTCTATATGCGTGTATGAAGTATTATATTAAACTGGCTACTATGAAATCCTTCATTGGTTTCATATAGATCGTTTCATCGTAGAATGTTAGCTCCACTTATTGTCTATTGGGATTGACCATTACTGATGAGATCAATATGAAGATAGTTAACGCATAGTAGGTTGTATCGATTTGAGCCGTCTTTATCTCTGTCGCGATTTTAATCCAGCTGTAAGATTTAGAGTTTACAATGCGTCGGAAGAGGAGTTTTATTCTATGGTTGAGAAACCTGGCTCGTCCGAGGTTAGGATATATAGCAACTCCATGTTTATTCATTGTTCCTTTCTAAGGATTGTTGACATCTGCTAACTACACCATCTTAGTACTCCCGACGTTCGACAAGAGGTATTCTGGTGCAGAGAAATTTATTCAAGTAATGCCACTTTCCTGAATTACCGACTTTGATGCCTTAATCATATGTTTCGAATGCTGTTTCAGCGTCTTCCATATTGTGGATTATTCGGCGACACTGGGACTGAGTGGGAAAAGTGTTGAGGTGTTCGGTTAGTGATATGAGTTTGTGATATGAAAGAAATTAAAATGGGACTAGGATTCGTCCGTAAACCCTGAATCCGTACAGATTGTGTAACTCAATGTTTTCAGAAGCTATCATAAATGTTTTAGAATGCAAGTAACTAGTGATCCAACTGTACTTTTTCTCTGTATTCATCACAGAACTGAGAATAACGTTTTTGATTGAGAGAAGTCCTTTTTTGTTGTACTTTCGTTCTAACTTTATTTCTCATTGTGTACCATTTCTATTCATTTATTTATTGTATGTACTCTCATTCCCTACTCTGTTTTCTTCGCAGTGTTATCACTTCTTTTGTGCGGCACATTTTGTGTTGATTTATTATATCAAGCTTTGTATGCTTAAATAAATAAGGGATAGTAAACGATTTGTGAATAGCTTCATGTACTAATGCGTAGTTATCAAGTGATGATTTTTTAGGGGATGCAAACTAGTTACTTTGTAGTAACCAGTATTGTATTGTCATTTACTTAATTCTAGTTCTTGCAATGTAACTACTAAACTAGTCGTTTCAACATCTCTGTAAACTCTGTTTGACGTAGTTGTAACCGACTGGAATCTTGTGATCTACCTAGGTTTCATTATATTTGATATTCATCTTCATTCTTGGGTGAACAGCTATTTTTCATGGTATTCAAACCTTTATCACACAGTATCGTGAACAAATATATTAGTACTGGATTATCTGTTACTTGCATCTGTTCACGTGTTTTACATGCGTTGTTTGAATGCAATAAAATGTCCAAATTGCTAATTTTGAGCTTTGATTTACAGATTCCTATGGAGATGGTATACCACAATAGATAAGGGTAAGAACTTTTACCCTCTTGTGATTGGGATATGTATCATGTATGGTTAGCTATCATCTACCTCATCTCACAATGCTTTCAGCCTTAAAAACAGTGTTCAAGGAAGCTGAATACATAAATATTATGACAAGACATCAGTCAGTGAAACTATCGATTTTTGTCTTGAGAAGTATTGATTGATGAAAACTTCCTAATTGAAACACATGAGATAATCGTAGCTTGTATGTTGAGTGACATAGCTTAAAATTAACTGAGATGGGGCACAGTTACATTTATTTTTCATCTTTCTCTGAAAACTAAACTTGGTATCATTACCTATTCTTCATTTTCAATCTCATCCATTCATTTTATCGGCTATGTTTTTGATCTTTAGTTTATTTTGACTGTTTTTCATCTTGCCTTTTGATTCTGTGTTGTTTACAACTGGCTGACTTTTTCTTAGTTAGATATTTTTATCATGTCTAGGTTGTTTACCGTTTAATGAAGTCTGTTCCGCGTGAGTGTTGAATATCGAAGTTATTTTCTCTTTTTTGCGGAGATTTTTTAAATGTATGATCGTGTATGACGAGAGAGATACGTATGCAAGGTTACTTGTCAGTAAAATCAATAACTAACAATATAGATTGAGCAGTAATAAATAAATTATTCAATTAACTCTCATTGTTCGTTTCTATTTCAGCCTCAACTTCTCAATTAGATATTTCTACTCGTCTAGTCAGTGATAATGGTGGTAGTTACCCATCACAAAGTTTGTATCCTCGTCAAGATTCAGGTAAATCAAGGATATCAGCCAGTTCATTTTTAGATGAGCAAGGTGAGCATTGGGTTTTCTAGTGCATATATTATTTTTGCTAATTATTGTTTATGTATACAATACTGGTTTGAATTCCATAATGGGGAACATCAGTTCCTTCAATATTGAAGAAGACCTTTGATGACTAGTTGGAACTAGCATGAAACATATGTCAACCCTTTGACATCAGCTCACAAAACGTTTTTACACCAAGTATTTTCTTCATAACATCAGTCACTAATTTTGTTTATTTACTGTCCGTACACATGAATTTTTTTTTAGCATTTGGTAGATTTACGAAAGACTTTTACCGAACCAATTGAGCTGTGGAGATTGTTAAGTTTTAATAGTGAACATAAACCGATCAATGTTAGACCAGTACTAATAACCTGGAAGCATTGAAGTTCTAGGAACTTAAATTTTCTTGCTCCTGAATGTCTGCTGACGTGACCAAGCACTGGTTTAGTCAAGATAGTAAACGGCTCAGCTCTAGTCTATGTAGTGCAAACCGGTCATATTACCAGATTAAGTAAACCATTTTCAATAATTTATCGGGTTAGTAATTTTCTCCTGAAGGCGGTTTCAGGTCAAATTATTCTAAATGATAGAATTGGTAGCCATTCGGATTAAAAACTGGAGCTATGCTTGTGGAAGTAGTAAGTTGAACACCTTTCCTTAGTCTTGGCTAACCCCAAGGTAATAGATCAAGAGTAATATTAACTATGAAATGACCAAAATTGACTAAAGTACATACAACCTTTCTTACTCAAATTTTATTGTCTTAGTTATTTCTATTCACACGTCTTTATATTATTATTATTAATTTCAACAGCACTATTTGTCTTCCGTAAAAATGAGTAAATTAATTAGCACTTAACCCACTTATTTTTTTTACCGAGTTCATATAATGTTATACCTAATATAATCTTCCACTAAACATTTGATCGGATTTGTAATTGGATTATTATTTCTCTCACCCTATCTGATCCATACCTAATCTAATCAATACTATCACAATTTCATTCAACATATCAACCAGTTAACATTGTTTGTTATTCAGTAGTTATTATTCAACATATACACTTTTATTGAAATTGAGAACTGATCTAAGTTAGACAACAATTAAAAGCCTAGAAACATTCGGTAGCGGTTCATTATTGTGTGGAACTTCTTAATAGTGCATATCCATGACCCTGCAGCTGGGCATCGAATCCAAAACCTCCAGTCTTGTGTGCGAACACTTAACCTTTAGACGATTGAACCGGAATTCACAGTGTACATGTTTAACTTCAACCAATCCATGATGCTGCGTGACCATCTTCCATTATCTTTGATGGTTGGCTCATGTAAATCGATTCGCAATTTGAATAAAACTCAACAATTTGCACAACCGCTTACTTGACAGTTAACAATTTTATTTTACAAACAATCCCGAATTCACATTCAACGATCTATTTTGTTTTAAACTTAACCACTTTTTGGATTATTAATTTGGATAATTAATTGTAGAAATTGGCAATAACTCCATGAACTGATATCAGGTTTTCATGTTATATAATCGCTTAAATATTTGTAGTTAAAAAATACTAAGCATCACCAAACAGTGTTTTTATATTCTAATAATAACTATATATTTTTTATATTCCGATGAGTAGAAACGTACTCTGAAGAAGTGGCTTACATTCAGTCATGAAACGTCGGAAATACAATTTTGTACTCATTGGAATATAAAGAATATATTTGTCATTTACTCTACTCAATGCTCAATTTGTTCTACATTTTAAGTTATAAATATTTAGTTTATGTTTCTACTTATAATTAATCATCTTTATAAGTTAGTTGTTTAGGCATACAATATTCATCGACAAACTTTCCGATATTCTGACCATTTCAGTAGCCGTCAAATAGTCGTGTACCGAGTATTTATGCATTTTACGTATGTACAAGTTATCATAACTGTTAAGTGATACTTTTTGTGAATACTGTAGTTTTTTGGCTTGTAACTGAATAAGTTGTTGTTTGGACTCAACCTATATATTAGCTGCATTGTTTTCGCATTTACTATCTATTGTAAAGTGATTGCAGGCTTACATTATGGATTTCTGTACGATCGCCATTTATTAATCAATGTATTCCTATGATATTGTACTTAAATTGTATCATTGCTTTAATCTGGTTAGTAACTAGCAGTGAAATCCATGATTTATCCAATTTATGAATCGTCAGCTAGATATGCTTATGTGGTGACGTTGGCGTTCACACTGGAATTCAATAAGGCAACTTGTTACCACGTACAATATAAACTGCATGAACTTGTTCTAAACATGTGGCAGGTTATACATTGTGCCATAACTGACTGACTTTGTGCATATATGTCATTAGAGACTGATCAAATACAGCCTATAATATCGAGAATGTATAAACTCATACTCATACATATTTTACCTGAATGTTTTATAAATTGAATGTTAACTGAGATTTGTATTAATTTGTCAATGAACTCATACATGAAGATTTGTTCTCGTATAAATATCACTTAATAGTAATAATAATTTTTATCACTGGTTTATTGATTATTATGTCCATTTACCCCCTCCCCAATTTTTGTTATATATTTTTAATAGGTGTTGGAACACCTATTCAGCAGCGAACTGATGGAGTTGGTGAAGTTTCAGCGGCACCTTTTGAGTCACCTGGTAGTTTTCATACTTCAGTATTTGGTGCTCAACCTGATGATCGACCTAGTAAACCTATTGAAGGTAACTTTTTTGGTTTAACACTGCCTACCTTAATTCTGATTAAACGATCGACTTTAGTTCATTGTTGGTTTCCTTCTTAAGCACTTTTTTCAACAAAAAAATTTGAATTAATTTCGTAGGTTGAAGTGTGTTGTAAGACAAGTCTGTGTAATAGGTGATATGGTGATAAATTGGTCAGGTAATTTGACATTCGAATCTTACAATACTGACTTCGGTTTGAGCAGCCGGACAGTATCAGCATTCTTCACATGTAGATTGTAGCCCATAGCTCATTATATGAATTTGTACATAGTGAATAAGTGAGTGATGATATAAATCACTCATTCATAGATCAGTTTTCATTTTCCTCTAAATTTTTAGTTCAGTATTGTTTCGTATGTTTAATTTCTTCTAAAATTGGTAATTTCACTCTTCTCTACCTATCGTTATTTCTTTCTTTCATTGTGCTGATATAAGATGTGGAAAATGCAGTCAACTTGTATTCGTTTTAAGTCCTTTCTCTCTTATTGGTAATTTAATTGGAACGGGTGCATTTGAACATGAGGTCAGCCAATCATAATCAGTGTATGAAAAAGACTAAATATTGATAATATGGTTTCAATAGGTAAAATGGAGAAATAATGAACTAAAGATCTAGAGAAAGATGATGAGTGAATGAATGTGTCTGGGTCATTATGATAGGTGCTAAGGCATATTACCCAACCTCACCAACCATTTGTCAGGGTTATCATTCGAACGCCAACTACGCAATCTGAATCTATCAACATGGCTCAGACCAAGTCAAATGACTGATACCATGTTTGTTTTGGTCACCCCTAGCTTACTTTCAGCATTCCCCTTGTACTCAGTCAGTCAGTCAGCTACAACGTAGAACCATGCACTTATGTGCATCGGTCCAGGTTGCCATACCGCATCAGCACAACAAGATGAACACCGGATTCATAACAGTGGTTAGGTAAAAGGTGGTAATATATAAGAGAAAGATTGGATATAGAGATATAGTACAAGAAGAAAGAATTGGTTAGTAGAAAGAAAGATATGAAGCGCTTTTAATCTCTTAGTTTAAGGGAAGAAACCGAGTGTATACACCGACGCCATTGTGATCGATTCTGAGCCATGTCACCAAGAGTCTCCAACCATTGGTTACGATAGTCACGCGGACCCCAACCAAGTAGTCTGCATCTACCAACATGGCTCAGATTAGAAGTTAGTGACTTCAAGCACTGATGCCACGTTTTGGTTTGGCCGCCCCTAACTTTCTTCCAACCATCCCCAACACCGGATAGCATTGCACGTTGTGGTAATCGGTGTTCAGGCATACGTAACACGTGGCCCAACCATCTCAGTCGATGAAGATTCATAACCTCATCAACTGATTTACCATGCTTTCCTAATACCCTGCGTCTAACCTCACTATTACTTACCCGATTATCCCAGCAGACGCCAGCAATATTTCTAAGGCATCTGTGGTCAAATACTAGCAGCTTACGAGTGTCTTCTACTCTTAATGGCCATGTTTCGCTACCGTAAAGTAAAACAGAACGGACTGCCGCGCAGTATACTCGTCCTTTTATTGATAGACGGATATCTCGCCTTCGCCACAGGTGACGTAAGTTGGCAAAAGCCAAACGAGCTTTTCGAATCCGTGCTGAGATTTCGTCCGATACCAACCCATTAGGGCTGATCAGACTTCCAAGATAAGTGAAGTTGTCAACGCGTTCGACTACTTCACTCCCTATCCTTAGTTCAGGTGTTAACGCAGACCAGTCCTGAAGCAACAACTTGCATTTAGAGGGAGAGAAGCGCATTCCAAACATTCTGGCATTGTTGCTTAGTGCTACCAGAAGACTTTGCATTTTGTCAGCGTCTTCACCAAACAGGACTATGTCATCTGCGTATTCTAAGTCGATAAGTGGACCTCCTGGAAAGAGATCAATACCCGAGAACTCAGTCGACGAGAAAGTTATTTCCATCAGTAGATCTATGATGAAGTTAAACAAAAATGGGGAAAGTGGACATCCTTGACGGACACCACTTGAGGTTGCAAAAGTAGATGACAGTTCGCCATAAGCTCTCACTCGACTAGTAGTGTTCGAGTAAAGAGCCTTCACAAGGTTTATGTACTTCTGAGGTACGCCTTTCAATGACAGACACTGCCACAGAACCTCGCGGTCTACCGAGTCAAATGCTGCTTTTAAGTCAAGAAAGACCACCATCGTCGGACGCCGATAAGTGTGCCTATGTTCTAGAACCTGACGAATGGTGAATATGTGGTCGATGCAGCCACGACCAGGTCTGAAACCAGCTTGGTTTTCTCGTGTTTGCAGTTCACGAGTCTTAGTTAGGCGTCTAATAATTATCGAGGCTAGTATCTTAGATATTATATTAGTTAAACTAATCCCTCTGTGGTTGTCGCAGGATGATTTTGACCCTTTCTTATATATTGGGACGAGAAGTGATTGTGACCAGTCAGATGGAATAACGTCTAACTCCCAGATCTTAGCTAAAATATTAGTCAACCTAATCGCTAAAATTGGACCACCATCTTTAAAGACTTCTGGAACCAGTCCATCTGGTCCAGCTGCCCTTCCTCGTTTCAGATTATCTATAGCCTTTTGAACTTCAGCAAGAGTTGGGGGACCTACTTCAATGTTCCATTCACGCTGTCTGAGAATGGAGGGTAGTTGTAGAGTCGCTGAAGGCCAGCTGAACTGTTCCCTAAAGTGTTCCGCCCATCGTTCTAAACGTCTGGACTGGGAATAGATGAGAGTATCGTCTTTTTCCGATATAATCTCACTTACACTTGACTTATTAATTCCAGTTTCTTTTATTAGTCTGTAAAGTTGTCTTGTGTTCCCTATAGTCGCCGCCTTTTCCATCTCTTTTGCTTTCGTTGCCCACCACTGCTCACGGTCGTTTCTTAAACTTTTTCTTAACCTAGATCTGATTTGTTGTCGCTCTTCATCATGTTCGGAACCTGATGGGACAAATTTGCGAGAATCCATCAGTGTGATAGACTTTGAAGAAATCCACTGGTTCCTTGAAACTCTGTGGTTTAAGTTGCTAATAGATGTCACTGCTGCTTCCACAGCTGCTTGTATGTCTTTCCAAGTAACATCTGGGTCAGCCTCGTGTTCAGAACTACTTAGGTGTGAACTCAGTTGTTCTTGGAACCTATTTTTGGTTTTCTCGTTGCTCAATTCAGTTCTAATTGGTCTTTTTAATGTGGCTTTTTTGCGTCCGGTGAGGCGCAAGCAGATGCGTGCCCGTATTAGGGCATGATCGGAGTCCAAGCAGGTACTCCAGAATGAGCGACAATCTTCTACCGACCCTCTCCAACGATGACTGATGGCAATATGGTCTATTTGAGTCCATCGTTGGTTTGGTGTAGGGGGTCGCCATGTTAGACGATGTCTCTCCTTATGCTTAAAATTTGTGTTTGCTAAAAATAAGCGATTGTCTGAGCACAGTTGCAGCAGACGATCACCATTATCTGTTCGCTGTGCCGGAATGCTAAAATATCCACCTAAATGCCTTTCTGTTTGGTTTAAGCTACCTATCTGCGCATTAAAGTCACCCCCTACGAGTACTATGTCTGAGCGTTTAGCCTTCTGAAGAAGTTCAGAAAGCTTCCTGTAAAATTCATCCTTCACTTTATCGGAGCTGCAGTCAGTGGGAGCGTAGGCAGAAACGACAAAAAGGCAACGACGTGTGTCCCTATCCTTCCGAGTTCTTACGGAGCCGTTTAGCCGAACAGCACATAGACGACTGCTGATGGGGATCCACTCTAGCAGTGCTTGTTCCGCCCTCATGCTTAGTGCTATGCCTACACCTGCCAGTCCACGAGAACTGGCCATCGGGTCACCAGATACACGTAGGGTGTATCTCGTTGGCTCTCCGTTTTGCCGAGGTGAGGTCAAGTGAATGACCACACTGGAATCCTGTATGCGTGTTTCGGAGACACAGCATACATCGATGGAAAGAGACTCTAGGGTTTTAGCCAAGGAAGCCTGCTGACCGATTTGACATAAAGTGCGTACGTTGAAAGCTCCAATGTGTAGTTTGGAGCGAGGTTTCAGTAGACCTGGGACAGAGTTTTGAGCACTAGAATCGTTGGCTATGGTGACACTTGAGGAAGAAGCCGAAGGAGGAAGTTTAGGGTTGAAAGTCGATGTAGGAGGAATAATAGGAATTGAAGAGGAAGGTTGATTATGAATACAGTGGTCTTGGGTGCTGCTAGGGGTATGAGGGCGGTTATCACTTCCCGGTTGCCCACACCGTGGAAGGGTTCTTCTGGAGGTACCTGAAAAGGAAATTGGATTAGAGGCGGTCTCGGCGACCTGAGAGCGTGACCGCAGTGCCCAAGGGACAACTGCTTGAGGCCGGTCGCGCACGGCCTTTCCGTGGAAGGTTTTTGACATGTTAGCTCCGTTCTTCAAAGGGCCTTACCGCCGGAGACGGAAATCCGTGAGGTAAGGTGAGGTGTGCATTTTTAGGGTCGACCTTTTCTAACCCCACCCCTCCTTGTGGGAAGGCAGCATCGCTGTCATGCTGGTTGTCTGAAGGAAACACCTTACTGCTGTCACACCTCTGTACAGTCAGCAGTACGACTTCGCCTTCGGACCTTAGGTTTGTTGCTTTTAGTTTTACCGCTCTTCAACCGACCTGTCTGACATGGTAGGACCTTGAGGAACGGTTGTTCCAGCCAGTATAGCTCGGTTGCTTCATCACGATAGGCAAGCCCGACCACCACGTCAAGGTAGCAACAACGGTCGGGAGGTAGCAACAACGGTCGGGTCCCCTTGTACTAGCTAACATTGTCCATCGAGGCGCAATAAAACTATTTGTATCAAGATCTTACTAATCTTTTCAAGGTTCTAGTCAATCAATTATTAACATTCCTGTTTATTATCATTGTTTTTATTATTATTCGCATTTCAGATATGACAAAGCGTGAAACAGCTGAATATGTGACACATTTACTAAAATCGTTACAAAGTTCGTTCGTATTTTATCATATTTTTCTTTTTGGCTTTTAATTAAATTCTTCGTGCTATCATTTTGATGATAATTAAGGTATTAATTTTGCAACTGAATTCGTCTACTTTTTGATATGCGTTAATTCAAGTTGATACACTCATACGTTAAAAAGTATTAGGTGTTAATGTATTCATTAGGTCGAGGACGAAGTAAAACGATATGGTAGCGGAATCTAGGAAGAGGTGATCATTAACCCTGTCTGAGAGGAATTCTTATGCTTACGATTATGTCGTGACGTGCATGGACGAAATTTGTTGTACCAGCGGTATGCGTATAATATTCAAAAGACAGGCATTTGTAACAAATACGTTCGAAGGGAGGGGTGACCATCTATTCTTCTAGGTGAGTGAATATGCCTGTATGTATCCTATGGGATGCATAAATGAAAACATGTGTGACCAGTATCCATGTAGGCTATACTTGCCTTTATCGCGTCTCCGGCGCGCCAAGTTCCGGAGGGTCCAACGATTTCCATGTAGTGGGTCCGTGGGCCTCGGAAAGTGGATTTCTAATCCGAATTTTTATATGGGCTTTATCGAGTGTGGCCTCCCCAATATCAAATGACTGGAACACTGCACCAATCAAAACAGGTCGAGTTTTCAATGGTTTTTTATTGTTCAATGAATATGGAGCACATGGTTTCCCGCATAGTTTGTGATGGTACCTTTCAACTGTACATTACTATTGTTCTATCGCGTAATACTTTTTGTAGCTATAACGAAAAAAATTGTCTTTAGATACTTTGACAACCTTAGCTATGAACAGTGGATGGAGCATGAGGATTACAAGGATGATGTAATATAAGAACGACTGTTGATCTGTTTTGATGGTAAAATTGAACCATTGCACTCCCTTGTAAATTCTGTTTCCCAATTCACTGTGTAAATGTCTGTTGACACAATCTTAACAAAACATTTCTTAAAAATTTCTGTAAAACATAAAGTGATAAGATTGTTGAACGGTTCGAATTCAGATAACTTACATGGATATTTTAAACAATGAAAACAGTGTTAACATATACATGTGTATACTGCCATAGCAAATGGGAATCGTACTTAATGCACGTTAAATTTCCTAGAGCGAGCTTTTTATTTCTGTGATCATGTAATCACTTATTCACTGAACTGAATAGTAAGTATTAAGTTGTACATTCTTATTAACCGGGTTGTTGTAGTATTTTATCTCAATACCTTAAATGATCCAATTAACACAGAGAATTCGATAAAATGCAAAAACTTTACACACATGTGATTTCCGGCAGTTTACATTTTGTATTAAAATTTCTAACTCAATGTAAATTTCATTGTTTCTCATCTTTTTGAAAAAATCAATTATTATACTTTCTCTACTGTGCTTATATAGCTGCTCGAACAGAAATTACCCGTTTACAAATAGAAAATGATCGATTGACTGGTCATTCACATGAATCTGAACGAGAATTAAATGAAGTTCGTATGACTTTGGCAACATTACGCAATCGTCTATTAGAAGACAATCTTACACAATATCTTGAATTGCCTCGTGAAACCAATGGTTACATGGGTATTGGAAGTAGCAGAGTCGATAGTGTTATTGGTCTTAGTGTACGTAATAATACTAGTATAATGAATAATGCCAATCCATTTGACAATGTACGACATGAAAATACTATTGAACCCCAATCATTTTTGTCGAAAATCTCCTCTCTAGGAATGAATGCTCGTTTAGGAAATATCATTCCACCGACAAATAATCAATTACAAACAAATGGAAACAGTGCTAATATTGGTGGGGGAGGATGGTGGTAAACAACTAATCCATAGAAAAATAAATAATAATTTGAATGAATTAGATTATTATACTCCCCGAGCTCTATTTTGATTTTGTTTTCGATAATTGAATCACCTTGATCTTGCAATGAAAAATACTTTTGTATGTGTTTGTATGTGCTTGAATGATCCTATTTGCTCATTTGTGTGTATGATTATTTCTTCTATTTATTATTGTTTCCTTGACGTAAGCGGAGGTGATTTGTACTTAGGTCTATATGTATATGCTGTTCGCAAAGTAAAAAAAACATTTCAGGTTGAAATGTCTTTCAACATTATTACTATTATTGTTACTAATTATTATTATTATTATTCCTATTATTCTGCTTCCAAATATTACTATGTTTATTTTATTTAAACAATATCGAGGCTATATATGAACACAGACAAGCGCATTGATTAACACATATCCATTCACTATTGTTCAACAGCTTTGGTGATATAGAGTAACTATTTTAAATGGTATATCTACACTTTAGTGCATCTACTAAATACAAGTTCAGAGGTTATAATCCATTGTACCATATTAATGAAATGAATTGTTGTGTTTTTTTATTTATAAAAAAATTCTTATCTACAGAAGATCTGTGATATTCAATTGTCCTTGTTTGTATTCCTAACTAGAATATTTAATTGCTCAATGTTCAATAGAATGTTGCCATTCATTCCTTCTAGATAAACATTTTTCATTTACACTTATTCACATAGTCATGTATTCTCATATCAATAATAATTCTTTTATTATCTTTACTGACAATGTTTCATATCTGTGTTATCTTCTATCTTCTCTTAAATATTCCTTTCTCTAAAAAGGACTACTTATTACTTTACTTCCTATCAGATAATTTTCACATGCAAATTTGATAATGTTGTCACATTTCATTAATAATTTTCTAAAGAAAAAAGATTTCTTTTTTATCCAGGGTTTACTAATTGAGAGGGTTTTTCTTTCTTTCTTTTTTTTTAAATTGAAGAAAAATGTTGTTTCTATGTTTTAGTAAAATAAATTTTTCGTTTAGTTTTTATCCAAACGCATTCACTCCATGTGCTTTTCTACGTGTGTGTAAGCAAATCGATTGGCGCTAAAGAAAAAAATATACGTCTCCATGCTAAATGTACACAGGCGTATACGTGTGTTTGTTCTTATTATTTCATATATATATGTATATTGACAAGGTGGAAAATAAAATGGCTGTGTGTTTTCTCTCAACCATATATACATAATGGATTGATTTTGAGGTGTGTTTCAATCATATTTATCATTTTCGTTTTCTTTGATCTGAAATTTCTTTAATGAATTTATTCGTGGTGAATTTCATGCCTTAACTTGTGTTTTCTTTTCGTGCTTCATCTAGGAATTTTTCATCACATACTGAATCCTCTTTTATTTTTGAATAATAAATACTACTTTACATGAAATTGTTTTCCCCTCACCGTAACTGAATCTTACATCACTCAGTTTTTTTTTCTTGTTATGTTAAATACATATGAACAATTGTTTAATGATTATTTATCATTTGAGAGTGCCTAATTGAATATCAATGTATATGGAGTTCCTTCATATTATCATTATGAATATTAATACGACCAATATATATTTACTTTTGTTTAATATGGAACAATCAATAATTTTCTACTTATTAGTATGCACAATTTACTGTTTTTCTGTGCCAATATCAACAATTGTTTTTTGTTCTGAAAAAGATGACAAGGGACTGAAAGAGCAAGTCAGTTAGCTAGAAAGTTGTATTTTTATTTTAATCTACTAGTTTTAAGTGACAGCAGGAAAAAAATGGTTCGATCCTTTGTGATTTTAAGGGATTATCTGTTTTGTTTTTGAAAAAAAAACTACTTTTCATGAATGTACTGTATAACTATGCGTACGTCGGGCATACAGTAGTAGTTACTTGGATTTTAATTCACCTTGAAAGGAATTTTGTAAAGCCAAAATAAGAAATGATTCACTGTAATTGTGTATTGTGATAAAATATATTTAATATAATATTGAAAATGTTAACTAATTATTATTATTATTTTTTGTTCATAATTGGCAATTCTTTTTTTTATCCAGCCTAACAAAAAAAAGACATTGAAAAGAATTCATATGAAACTAATAACAAGATATTGTTCAGTTTGATATTCATTAATAAAAGCGTTCATAGTGATAACAATAATTAATAATGACAGAATGAATACTTTTCATATGATTCTTGTCTTTTGTTTTGATTGTGTGTCTGTGTTTTTATAAATTTATAGATGTTTATTTGTTGGTGTTTGATAATGGATTTTATGCGGTGAATGTTTCGATGTTTATATTTGAGTTTATTCATTAGAAATAAACTCAGTTATCTATCCAATGCACAAGATTAACAAGGTTCTCATCTAATTATAGAGTTTTTTCCCCATCTTCAATCATTCATACTAGATGATTTTGATTAACATCAATGTTTCAACCACAGTTAAACTGTTCAATTATCACTATAAACATTCTATGAAAAGCATTCAGATTTCTCAATAGATTCGTGTATTCAGTTATGAATTACACTTTGAGTAATGTCTAATGATTCTTTTTGGTTACACGAACCAATATAGACAAATCAAGACTCAGACCCGAAAGTTGAATGCCTTAATCAATAAGGTCCACCAAATTACAGATGGTCACATAACATATTCTAAGGTACTTTCATCTCTTTCTATTTTGACACTCAATTAGGTAGTATGCAGCACACGATACACAAAAAAACACATTTTGTAACCGAATATAAAATCAACGAATACATACTTGTTAAGTGATTAAATGCGACTTTTCGTTTCTGTAGCCATTTTGTTTGATTTTCAACTGAATTATCCTAATCACATATATGCGTTTGCTTTGAAAATGATAGGTTTACTTTTTTTTCGTAACCCTATTATGGTTACCGTTTCTATCTTAACATTTGATTGAAAATAAAATTTCAATGGTTGAGATCATGAGTTGATTGAAACTAGACAACCATGGAAAACCTGAAAACTCTGGACCGCTGGTCGGTTTCAATCGACTCACAATCTCAACCATTGAAATTACTATAATATCTACAAAATGTTTCTAGTTCTGGAATACTTAAATTCTATTTTATTCAGTGATATGTTAACGTTTTGTTTGAATTCATGATATAAACCATATGACGAATATTTAATTTTTGTTTCTAACTGTTCAATAACCATAGAAATCATTTTCATTTTTGTGTATCATTTTTTTTATAATGCTAGGCAATTTATGTAATGAATCGTGTGCAGAAATTAATTAATTCTCTTTTCATGTGACTACAGATTATTCGAAGGTTAGACTATTTCAATTATGCCTTTTGTATATTCATATGATTATAAAAAGTATTGTTTGATGCTTATGCCTTATTCCAATCATAGTTGTTTTTCTAAATAGTTTTATTTCATCTGAAGATCAGTTGGATTCAGAATTATTGATGTGAATTTATTGTGCTTCACCTAAATATATGGAGATTTTCAGTTTAATTCTTATTGGGTTTAATACTATCGAGCTGAAAATCAAGTTAGATTAATTATTCAATGCTCTCAGGTTTTCATTAGTTCTACAGCTTTTGTCGGCTCAGTTTGTGATCTAAAATTAAATTATAATTAATAAGTTATATAAATCTTTTACGTTGATATACTTAACGAAATTTCATAAACGCGAATGTATAGAGTGATGACGTAATGGTCAAATCATTCTAATTAATATCTCTTGATCATGGGTCTTAACTTTGTTTCCATTACTTCAGTTCCGGTTAATAGATCTCATACAAAACAAGTAGTCATGCACATAAATCATTACTTAACAATCAATGAATTACATCCTATACATGGTTTAGCAGCAAGAGCTGGATATATATACGCACTTCTGGGGAGTCATACTACACAGAAATCATTCGATTTGTGTGAGGGTTAGAATACTGTCCTGGTGCCCAAACCAAAGCACGTGGTTTCCTTAAGGAGACACTCCCAGAGCTTTTGACCCAGATGTCTAATCCACAAGACAGTGGAGCAACATTAGGAGATCCATTACCGTAGTAACCAGTGAACAACAATAGATTTATACACCTTTTGTTCCTTTAGGATTCTGAAGCGCATGTGCACCATTTGTTTGGGATCAGGGTTTCCTAACTCGCTTGAGTGCATCCTCCCGACCGAAGCTGCTACCTTGACGCGGTGATCGGGCTTGCCTATCGTGATGACCCAACAGATCTATATTGGCTGGAACATATGTTCCTGTAGGTTCTACCATGCCAGGCAGGTCGATTGGAGAACGGCAAGACTAAAAGCAGCAACTCAAGGTCTGAGGGCGAAGTCGTACTGCTGACTGTAGAGAGGTGTGACAGCAGTAAGGTGTTTCCCTCGAACAACCAGCATCTGCAGCAATGCTGCCTTCCCACAAGGAGGGGCGGGGTTATAAAGGGTCGACCCTAAAAATGTCACACTTCACCTTACCTCACGGATTTCCGTCTCCGACAGTAAGGCCCTTTGAAGAACGGAGTTAACACATTAAAAACCTTCCACGAAAGGGCCATGCACGACCGGCCTCAAGCAGTTGTCCCTTGAGCTCTGCGGTCACGCTCCCAGGTCGTTAAGATCAACACTAATCCGACTTCTTTTTCAGGTTCCTCAAGAAATACCCTTCCACGATGTGGGCAGCTGGGAAGTGATATCAGCCCTCATACCCGTAACAGCACACGAGACCAAGTTGGTCACATTCAAATCCTTCCTACACCTCCTAATACCTCTCTTATTTCCATGACTAACCCTCCTCACGTCTCTTTATCACCTCGCACCGCTAGGGCAAAGGATTCGAGTACGCGGAACGCTATTCCTGGTCTCCTGCAACCACGCTCTAAACTACACGTAGGAACATTTAACGTAGGAACACTGTGCCAAATAGGACAACAGGATTCCTTAGCTAGGTTTTTAGAATCCCGCGCCATCGATGTGTGCTGCGTCTCCGAAACGAGCATACAGGGTCCGAGTAGCTTCATTCATCTGACCTCACCATGCCAAAATAAAGAACCGACTCGATTCACACTTCGTGTATCTGGAAGCTGTGGTTCTGCTTCCCGTGGCCTCGCCGGCGTAGGTATAGCATTGAGTCCCAGAGCAGAACCAGCTCTCTTACAGTGGATCCCAGTAGACAGCCGTTTGTGCGCTGTCCGACTGAACGGAACAGTAAGGACTCGGAAAGATAGGGACACCCGTCGTTGCCTCTTCATAGTCTCTGCCTATTCTCCCACTGACTGCAGCTCAGATGATGTAAAAGATGAGTTTTACAGAAAGAATTTCCGACCTTCTCCGAAAAGCTAGGCGCTATGATGTAGTAATAGTGGCCGGTGACTTTAATGCTCAAGTAGTCAAACTAAGCGATTGGGAAAGACACCTGAGTGGATCTTATAGCATCATGGCTCAAAGAACAGATAATGGCGACCGTCTGTTGCAGCTATGCTCGGATAACCGCCTCTTTCTTGCAAATACTAACTTTAAGCATAAACAAAAACATCTTTTGACACGGCGACCCCCTAATTCGTCCCAACGTTGGACCCAAATAGATCACATCGCTATCAGCCACCGATGGAGGGGCTCGATAGAAGACTGTCGCTCATTCTGGAGCACATGCCTAGATTCAGATCATGCTCTAGTGCGAGCGCATATCTATCTGCGTCTTACTGGATGTAGGAAAGACGCTGCCAGTAAACCTCTTGAGGCCCTACTTAATGATAGTCAGGCTAAGAGTATATTTCAGGAACAACTAGGAAAACAGTTAGGCAGCCATGTATGTGATGCCCACTCCGAGGCAGCTTGGAATGATATCCGAAAAGCTGTGGAAACAGTAGTGATATCTGCTAGCACGGTAACCCGTAGGGTTAGGGGGCAACACTGGATTTCAGCAGCATCTATCGCATTGATAGATGCTCGGAAACTCGTTCCACCTGGCTCTGAACATAGTGAAGAGCGGAGTCAGCTTAAGCTCAAGCTGACAAGAAGTCTACGCAATGATCGCGAACAGTGGTGGGTAGCGAAAGCAAGAGAGATGGAAAAGGCAGCGGCAATAGGTAATAGCAGACAATTGTTCAGACTTGTTGAGGAAACCGACTGTTAGCGAAACACTCAGAGAAAGATGGACATATTATACACTCTCAATCCAGGAGATTGGATCGATGGGCAGAACACTTCAGGGATCAGTTCAACTGGCCTTCAGCCACACTTCGATTTCCCACGATCCCCAGTCAACCTGAGTGGCAAGTTAATGTAGGTCCTCCGTCTCTTTACGAAGTTGAAAATGCCATAGGAAATCTGAAACGAGGGAGAGCAGCAGGCCCTGACAGATTTACTCCTGAGATTTTTAAGGATGGTGGTTTAGTATTAGCAATGAGATTAACCGAGGTCTTAGGTAGAATTTGGGAGCTGGACGTAATCCCATCTGACTGGTCTCAATCACTGATTGTGCCAGTCTATAAGAAAGGACAAAAGTCCTCTTGTGACAATCAGAGGAATCAGTTTGACTAATATAGTGTCTAAAATATTAGCCTCAATAATACATCGACGCCTAATCAAAGCTCATGAAGAGCAGACTAGAGAAAACCAGGCCGGTTTTCGACCTTGACGTGGTTGTATAGATTAGATATTCACACTACGTCAGGTTCTAGAATACAGACACACATTCAGACGCCCGACAATGGTAGTATTTCTCGACCTTAAGGCGGCATTCGACTTTGTTGATCGTAGGGTACTATGGCAGTGTTTGTCACTGAAAGGAGTACCAAAGAAGTACGTTAACCTTGTAAAGGCTCTCTACTCGAACACAACTGGTAGAGTGAGAGCTTATGGCGAACTGTCATCAGAATTGATTACCTCAAGTGGTGTTCGTGAGGGCTGTCCACTCTCTCCATTCTTGTTAAACTTTGTCGTCGACATACTTTTAGAGATAACACTTTCCTCGTCTAGATTTCCAGGGGTTGAACTTCTACCGGGAGGTTCACTTGTTGACTTAGAATATGCTGATGATATAGTTTTATTTGGTGAAGACGCTGACAAAATGCAGAGTCTTCTGACCACTCTAAGCAACAATGCAAGCGTGTTCGGCATGCGATTCTCCCCCTCGAAATGCAAAATGTTGCTTCAGGATTGGGTTGCATTGACACCCGAACTAATGATAGGGAATGAAGTAGTTGAGTGTTTCGACCGCTCCACTTATCTTGTTAGTCTCATCGGCCCTTGTGTTCTGGTGTGTGACGAAATCTCAGCACGGATACAGAAGGTTTGACTAGCTCTTACCAACTTGCGTCATTTATTGCGTAGATGAAATATCCGTCTATCAACCGAAGGACGTGTTTACTGCGCAGCAGTTCTTTCCGTCCTACTTTATGGCAGTGAAACATGGCCGGTAAGAGTAGATGATATTCGTAGGTTACTAGTATTTGATCATAGGTGTCTTCGAAACATTTCTCTTATATCCTGGGACCATCGAGTTAGTAACGCAATTGTTAGGAAACGGGTACTAGGTAAGGACGGGAAATCAATTGATGAAGTGGTGAAACTTCATCAGTTGAGATGGCTGGGACACGTGTTACGTATGCCCAACCACCAACTGCCTCGATGAGCGATGTTTTATGATGTAGAAGTAGGTTGGAAGAAAGCTAAGGGCGGCCAGACCAAAACATGGCACAAGTCCACGAAGTCACTGACAAGTGGACTGAGTCATGTTGGTAGGTGTAGACTACCTGGTTGGGGACCGCGAGATGATAGCAACCGATGGTTAGAGACCCTGAATGACATGGCTCAAAATCGATTGCAATGGCGCAGGTGCATCCACTCTTTGTGTTCTCCCAAATTCTAATCTTCTGAATTCTTCATGTCCCTTTTTTCCTTTTTCCAAATTTATTTCACTGAATTATACTCTTTAAATAACATCTCCAAACCCTAATCTTCTCGATCACTGCTTACACTCTTGCTACCTCTACCATTACGGGATTTGGATCGACAACTGCATCTCTGTGTTAAGGTGGTGTGGCAACTCGAACTGATGTACGTACGTACGAAGTTCTACGTTGTTACTGACTGACTGACTGAGTGCATCCTGTGTACCTACCAACCTGATTAAAGCTCCAAACATTCGTTTTCCTATCACGGAAAGACAGTGAGTAGAACTTCCCTGACTGTAGCTGTATACGCGTGGCCCTGAGAGAGCATGTAGAGAGGGTGAGCTGACACTCCTCACCCTAGGCAGTACCAAGGCAGTTGGTGGCATGGGAAAATGTTTGAATTAACAGTCAAAGATACATATAGTCAAATGAATACTGCAGCATTCATGCGTGTACTTAAGAAATATATAACATACTTCTATCTTCTTTTATCCTTCAACAAATGGATTTCCGGGTATTATTTATTCCACCTCTTATTTTTTTCTCAAAATATCCTCGATCTGTTATTGAACTGAACTCTATTTTCAGGCCTACAGTAATTTGAATAAAAAATTAGAGTTCAAATTTGCTGTGTCATTAATAAATACCTAATTAATCATAGTGACTAGACAAATTTCACAGTGCATTAATTCATTTATTTTTTCAGAAGTTTATTATATTTAGTTTGATTGCGAAAGAATTCAAGGTGTGTAAAACTAAAAATGGTTGATCCTTTCTTGTTGTTCTTCGATTTGGGTAACCGTATAATTTTGATAACGTTCAAATAAACAGTCTAGTTCAAAGCGGAGTGCATAAACTTGTTCACTGCGAATAAATTACACCATTCATTTTATTTATTAAATTAACATAATAAGGTTTTTTTGGTTAATCCCTTTTCAATCATTCTGCGTATTGCGAAACATTAAGGTTGAAATCATAGTTCGTGTTATTTTACCATTGAAAATCTCTGTTTGAAATTTAGTACTCCGTTTAACACCTCAGTGGAACTTTTAATCCTTTTCGATCAAGCTAGGATTACTTCCCTATAACTGTACTATGTTGGTATGTACACATATACATTCAGTGACATAGAAATCAATTTTACTTCAATAACGATTCCACGTATTTGCTACTCAGTTTTCTACACATAGAGATCACATCACTTCAATAATATCTGTTGTCACAAATAACAAACTTTTCTTTAATATTTATTATCAAATTGAATTGTTAATTGCAATTGTAGCATTTATATTATGATTTAGTAAACACTATTCTGACCTTAAGTTTGTTGTGTATGTGTTACCACGTATTTGAATGATTGCCTAATCAATTTAGCATATATTTATATAATTACACACCGTTATTTTTATTTTGAGTAATAATCTGAATTGGTTGACAACTTTGATTTATTGTAAGTGTCCTAATACTCTAGTTAAAATAATTGTCATTTTTTATGGGTTTTGATCGTACCTTATTTGTTAATTCATATCACCGCAACTTAATCGATAGGATTCTTCATCGCATTAGGCATATATGACATTGATCATTACTCATAGGTTAGTCAATGTAAATATCTCAATCTTACAAGAGGTCATTTTCGATCCTAACATCTTAATGGTAACGTCTCCGACTCTGAATTTGGTTTATTAAGGTTTGAATCAGATAACGAGTACCGGGGTTTCTTGCCGATCACTTCCAATTCTACTTAGCAACTTACATCGATCTGTTATTAGTTAGCATCATAAAGTCAATCAAACTATGTTGATCACTAAATTAAACACTTATACCATTGTGGTGTGTACTACTTATATCGACATAAGTGGTATCTGGTGTTTGTCAGGAACGGAATGTCTGGCAGCAGAGAGACAAGAAGGTCGAACAGTAGAGATTGGGAACAGAATGCAATTTTTATGAAAATGCAAAAACAATGAAGTCTGAGTCATAATGAGACAATTGATGGACATTTTGCAAATTAAGCATTTACTTTATGATTGTTAGATTTTATTAGCAAGTCCTGTAATTTTGTGTCAAATACATTCGATTGTCCCCACTGGTGTTCTTGTTCATTGCACCATCACCAAACGATCTAGCTAGAGAGAGCAATGTAAATCGGTTGAAATATGTCTAACAGATGAGTAGCAAAAGTCTAATTACTTATTCTCTGATTACGATATGGAATGACTTCACTGAATTGTTCACATCTGTCAGTTCATGACGCGTTTGTAAAACAAAAGATAAGTGTTCTGTATTGTTGTATCTTGATCCTATTGGTTAAAAAGTCCGAGAGATCATGGATTTCATTGTCTTGTGTTGTTATTGGCCGAAGTTTACAATGGAAGCCAGTGAGAATTCTGTTGTAATTTCCTAACTCATTCTTTATAAAACGTTGGATAAACACTTCAAAATAACAGAAGTTTCTCTTGATTGTTTGTCTTAAATCACATTTATGATTCATTGCCTGAATTCGCATGTTTCTAATAAACTTAAATATTAGACTTCAGTAAATATGTAATACAGTAATGGTTTATTCTTAATTGGATTTGATAATATAAAGGCTATTCTGTTAGGACTAGTGAAATCGAAATGTTTGTCTCTTAAACGTTAAAATCAGAAAATGAAGGAAATGCTTGTCAGCTATGTAAATCTCATGATTGTGTCAATAAACAGAACCATTCAATCGTAGTTCATAAGTTATTTGGATATGATAATTTTGAGCAGAACTGAAGACGTACTAGTAACTTGTATCGAACTCATTTCTGATGGCTTTAAGGAGTACTATTTTTGTCGACATAGTAACTGAACTTTCATTCTTTATAGCTAAGTCTGTTTTTTTTCGGACATTTAAAATAACATGCTGATTTTACTTAACCATTAAAACCGAAGGAATACTGGTCATCTACTTCGTCTTAGTATAGAAACCCTGCGAAATGTGCATCCACAACCCTATCAGGTATCGATCTTATGTCTTTCAGGTCTTATAACCGAACACCCTAACCTATAAACCACTGAGAGGGAGTGCAATTATTTGCATTTTCAACTCCAGTTAATTTTTAATTTGTTATTTATTAGAAGCTAAGCAACCGAAGATCATATGTTTTTGTGTAAGGCATCACATCGCTGTTTTTATTTTGACCAATTCAACTTTCTATGGTCTCAGATCATAATTATCTTCAATGTATATTCATTAAATCAAGTTGCTTCATTATTATTGCGTACCTATTGTTAGCTAGATTCAAGATGAATTTAATGAAATTGCAATAAATAACCATTTTTACCCGACACAATCAAAAGATTCAGGAAAATTAGATGGTATTAACGCATTGACCATAGTGGATAGTGATCGTTGATTAAGTTGAACATCTGAACCGTTGAATTCAAATTCAGTTGCTTAATGCTATCTTTATGAACATGAGAGTTTCATGCTCAATTTTAAACAAGGCCTTCGGTTGATATTTTATATTTCTCTGCGTGCCATCCTTCATGTTGTTTATCCCTTCAGATTGATCAAATTCTATCATTTAATTTTCAACGTCACCACTCAGAATAACTTGATATCACATTGTCGTATGCTTGATCTTAAATAGTTACTGGCGGGATGGGAGTAACATTAAGTAACCGCTTATCTGATAGAGGTCGGTACTCAATGATTGGTTGTTAAAATATAATTGTATTTACTTGAGCAAAAAAAATAATCCAGTATTATCAGATGTGGTGGCTTTTAAAGCATCTTAATTGTAAGTCTTTTATTATATTTTTTTCTCCTAATATTTCCTCTTGAACCTTTCTCTTATACTTATTTTAAAGGCTTATTCATACCTGTCTTTTATTAATATTATTCTTTTAAGATAAACCAGTTAGATGGAGGTATTTCTAGGTCGTTCGAAAGTGAAAAAGCCCATGCAATTACCACAGTCATCATTATCGACAACATCGTCATGTTTTCTGTCGGGTAGTAATAGTAATAGCAGTAGTACTTTACCATTTCCAATATTGTTTAAAGAAGATTTTATGGAATTCAATTCTGATCATGATGATAACAATAATGATGGTATAAACAGTTGTGAACAGTTTACATTTCAAGCGGTTTTATTAAATGGTGCCAAGACATTAATCACTGATTTGGAACAAATCAAGATACTTCGAAAAAGAGTAAGTACTTTTTATACAAAATCATACTCTTGTATGCAGTTTTACTGACTATCTTTTACTTATACATGCTGGTGCATCATGGATAAATGCGATTCGTGAATTTTTTCTGATCTCCATATTATTGTCTTACCTCAAGAGTAGTTAATGAAATATAATCTCAGTGAGGTACAGATATTTTTGGCTTTGTTTAGTAGGGTACACTTCACCATATTGAGTAATCTGATCTTTGACTACTATTATTCTGACATTTCTGAAAATTTCATCCAATGTACTAATGTAGCATGGCAACCTGAACCGACACACATGTACGTTCGATCCTAGGTTTTTTATGACTGATAAACTGTTACCAACTGAATAATCATTGAATATAATGACGCACACTGTAAAAGTTTGACAGTTCTTAGAAGTAAGCACTGCAGACTTTTCCTACAAGTGGAATTCAAGGCTCGTGGCGTTACATATAGTATCTTTAGATATAGCCCCTCCAGGTGGCTCACAATCCTCATTTATTATTGTTATTATGGGGCCCCCAAATGTCCTGGTACGGTCGAGGGTGAGGAGGGTCAGCTATCCTTCTTGAAATGCTCTCACAAGGCCACGTGTATATAGCCATTACCACAGAAGTCCTACCGACTGCCTTCGCGTGGTGGGAGTGTTGTTCATAAAATTAAGAGGACGAAAAGCTAATGTCCGGATCTTTAACCGGATTGGTGGATATGAAGAATCAGCCACGAGGAGTTGAAAAACCCTCATTCCAAACAAATAATGCACATGTGCTTCAGGGTTTCGAGGGGAGAAAAGGTATGTGTACGTATTGTTGGTCACCGGTTACCACGGGCCTGAATTTTTTAATGTCGCTCCACTGTCTTATGGATTAGACCTCTAGATCAAAGGCCACCTAAGAAAGCCACGTACTTTGGTTTGGGCACTCGGACAGTATTCCAGACCTCACACAAATCGAATGATTCGTGTGTCACATATATATTTTGTGCTTCCTTATACCGATGTATGTGTTCAACTTAGTAAAATAAAATCTTAAGATATTCATATAAAGTCGTTGGTTTGTGCGCTGTTTGTTAGGTCTTGAAATGAAGCAAATGAGGTTGCCATTATTTCATGATCGTTCAGTAACTCCTGTATATCAGTTTGTGATATCATCGTTCTACTTATTGATACTAAACCAATAAATAGGATCCTTGTATTTATTCCAATACATTTTTATTAGAATCATAATTACGGTTTGGAAATGGACAAGTTATTTAGATGAGGATGCATTTACTTACAAAGAAATTCTTGTCACAAGTCACTATGCTGTTGAATAAGATTCTTTTTAGAAATAATCATTCTGAACTATAAGTTATGGGGTTGGTGGAAGCTGTTGAATATGTCAGTTCACATCATGGATTTATTTTAGAGTTAAATAATTACTTATATCAAGGGAGCGCTAGATTATTGCTTCGTCCTGGTATGAAAATTTTCAGTATTGTGCATCCACGACATTATTGAGCCCAGAGCTTACCGCCTTCAAGTCTTGACCATTGAATTGGTATCCAATAGTTCACATTTATAACTGCAATCATTCATGTAATATTGCACAAACATGTTTTAATACCGTTTGTGAGTAACTGCTTCATTCTTGACATCATCGCTTTGTCTGATTAGAACTCAAAGAACTTCCTCTTGAAATTAGTCACTAATACATACATGATCATTACCAGTATTATTCTTAGAAAATAACTAGTTAATGACCTCTCTTTTATTACCAAGATTCCTAATTATTATCGATTATCAGGTATTCAGTTTTATAGGTGTTAATTAATTACAGGATAATCATGAATATAATGTGATATTCTGCATCGCGAAAGTTTTTTTCTTATCTGACTATTGGTTACTCAATAATAATATTTAACATAAATAAATAAATAACTAGTATGTTCCCCATTAGTTGCTTTTCAACTCAAACTACTACTATTATTGTTATTATTATCATTACTACTACTAGACAATGGTGGGTATGTCGCTCAACTTCGTGGATTAGTTGAAGTTAGACATTAACAACGCTGGATGCCAGGTCAGAGTGGTCTAGTGGTTAAATGCTCGCGCGCGAAACCAGCGGGTCCTGGGTTCGAATCTCGCAGGGGGGCGAGGTCGCGGATGCGCACTGCTGAGGACTCCCACAGTAGGACGAAACAGCCGTCCAGTGCTTCCAGGTTTTCCATGGTGGTCTAGCTTCAACTGACTCATGATCTTAACCATTGAAATTACTATAATATCCACAAAACCCATCTGATATTAATACTATTTAAGTTAACAAGTATTTATAATCATAATTACTCTAAGAATTTCAAATTAATAATTGACAGAAATTATTTCTATCTTTTTAAACTAAACTAAATATCAAAATCATTTAGATTATAACACTTTGATCTCTGATAGATCCATTTTGTTATGTATTTCTTTATTTTAAAACAAACTAACATTTTCTAAATTCCAAATCTTGCGGTTCTATTATTATTATTATTACGACTATTATTTACTAGTGACCTACTATCATAGAATTACTGTATGTTTCTATGTATGCTGAATTATTTATACACACGTGATACATTAAAACAGAATTGTGGTTTTTCTTTGTGGAGAAAAAGTTATTCTATTGATCGTTTTGTAGAATGTATGCTATATTGGGATGATAGTTGTATGTATTAACTTTATGTATGGTGTATATTTAAGGTATCAAATGTGTAAGTTATTAATTTATCTTTAAATGTATATCATAGTAATAGAGGATAACGTCTTGTGCTTTTTTCTTTGTTTTCTTGAAATGATATACTACACAACATATTTGTTATAATTTATGTCATTAACTGTTTGAATCAAATGAATTGTACTAGTATTCTACCGATCATAGTTGCTATGGTTTGATAACATCAGTTCCTGATGTTTATGACACCTAATATGTTACTTGTTAGGAAGGTGTTAATTAGTTACACCTGCTAGGCGGTTCAAATGATCGATCACATTATTGTGTATTGATTTATTGTTTATGTTCTCGGTGGTTTAAATTTCACCATTCTATTGCATACTCATTCCATTCTTTCTCTTTGGATGTCTAGTACAATTTCTACTATCATTTATTTTGACCACTTTGCTAATCGTCATATAAATTTAACCTTATTTTCATGATGCTGTATAAAAACTTGGGTCGATCCATATTTTTGCGAGGACCTGTGTTTATTATGAATGACTGTTAGTTAGGAGTCTTAGTACCATAATGACGTTTTGCTCTAGATAACTGCTCAAAACTGAAACTCTTTGAACATTTTCATTGTATGGTCAAGGTCTTTGCGCGTACGGTTTTGAACTAGCTGACTCAAAATTAGTGAACTCTTAACTATTTAGTGAGCTTACAATTAATCTTACACCGTACCGATACAAGATAATCCAAAGCACAATATCTTTCTGTATAGAAAAATGAGATTAATTGCAGGATACTAGGTTAAAAATGGCCAATTGGTTGATAGTGTACTTGATTTTCATTGATTGAGGCGGCTAGGACATTACCTATTCCGAATCATAACCTATCTCAATTGCGATCAATAAAGCATTTTTCCAGTCTATAAAAAAAACGGTATAATTCAGTATGGCTTGTAGAGTTGTGTTTCATAGAATCAGATTGAGTGTACCTCAACTTTCATGACATTTAAACGTGATTCTGTTTTTGTTTTCAACCGCGTAAACATTGTAAATGTTTAAATTCTTATCTCTTCGTTTCTAGGGTTGTTACGGTTTTAGTCAGAATAATGATTTTAATCTTCGCAATAAAGTCAACAGTATACCTAAGTAAGTGAAGATTAATATTACTGATATTATTTATTTCTATGGCAACATTGATGTAGGGATTTGTCTTCTATACCAATGTACAATAATACTAGAACACTAGATTTGGCACTCGATCGGTACACTAGATAATACTAACATTAGACTTAATCATGTTAGGCACAAATATACTAGTATCTGGATCAGACACTAGTTTTACTGACACATTTATAAAGATCCCACATAATGAAACAGAGCAGAAATCGCAGTAGCGATATAATGGTAGGCGTTTATATTACAAATAATAGAACGGGCTTGTTTGTTGTCGTTTAGTAATCAGTCACAAACCACAACATTATGTTGAACTTTTCATTGTATAAATTAAATATGTTTTCTCAATTGGTATTCTCTATATCTAGTCTTTTTCACTGTCACTGATACTACCACTGCCAATATAATTAATCCTAAACTATATCATCCAATGCCCAGGACAGGGTTGGATGAAGAATGCTGGTGGGCGGCTTAAGCTTCTCCACGAGGACTTTTGTCGTTTCTTATAGACTGGCACAATCAGTGATTGAGACCAGTCAGATGGGATTACGTCCAGCTCCCAAATTCTACCTAAGACCTCGGTTAATCTCATTGCTAATACTAAACCACCATCCTTAAAAATCTCAGGAGTAAATCTGTCAGGGCCTGCTGCTCTCCCTCGTTTCAGATTTCCTATGGCATTTTCAACTTCGTAAAGAGACGGAGGACCTACATTAACTTGCCACTCAGGTTGACTGGGGATCGTGGGAAATCGAAGTGTGGCTGAAGGCCAGTTGAACTGATCCCTGAAGTGTTCTGCCCATCGATCCAATCTCCTGGATTGAGAGTGTATAATATGTCCATCTTTCTCTGAGTGTTTCGCTAACAGTCGGTTTCCTCAACAAGTCTAAACAATTGTCTGCTATTACCTATTGCCGCTGCCTTTTCCATCTCTCTTGCTTTCGCTACCCACCACTGTTCGCGATCATTGCGTAGACTTCTTGTCAGCTTGAGCTTAAGCTGACTCCGCTCTTCACTATGTTCAGAGCCAGGTGGAACGAGTTTCCGAGCATCTATCAATGCGATAGATGCTGCTGAAATCCAGTGTTGCCCCCTAACCTTACGGGTTACCGTGCTAGCAGATATCACTACTGTTTCCACAGCTTTTCGGATATCATTCCATGCTGCTTCGGGGTGGGCATCACATACATGGCTGCCTAACTGTTTTCCTAGTTGTTCCTGAAATATACTCTTAGCCTGACTATCATTAAGTAGGGCCTCAAGAGGTTTACTGGCAGCGTCTTTCCTACATCCAGTAAGACGCAGATAGATATGCGCTCGCACTAGAGCATGATCTGAATCTAGGCATGTGCTCCAGAATGAGCGACAGTCTTCTATCGAGCCCCTCCATCGGTGGCTGATAGCGATGTGATCTATTTGGGTCCAACGTTGGGACGAATTAGGAGGTCTCCGTGTTAAAGGATGTTTTTCCTTATGCTTAAAGTTAGTAATTGCAAGGAACAGGCGATTATCTGAGCATAGCTGCAACAGACGGTCGCCATTATCTGTTCTTTGAGCCACGATGCTATAAGATCCACCCAGGTGTCTTTCCCTATCGCTTAGTTTACCTACTTGAGCATTAAAGTCACCGGCCACTATTACTACATCATAGCGCCTAGCTTTTCGGAGAAGGTCGGAAATTCTTTCTGTAAAACTCATCTTTTACATCATCTGAGCTGCAGTCAGTGGGAGAATAGGCAGAGACTATGAAGAGGCAACGACGGGTGTCCCTATCTTTCCGAGTCCTTACTGTTCCGTTCAGTCGGACAGCGCACAAACGGCTGTCTACTGGGATCCACTGTAAGAGAGCTGGTTCTGCTCTGGGACTCAATGCTATACCTACGCCGGCGAGGCCACGGGAAGCAGAACCACAGCTTCCAGATACACGAAGTGTGAATCGAGTCGGTTCTTTATTTTGGCATGGTGAGGTCAGATGAATGAAGCTACTCGGACCCTGTATGCTCGTTTCGGAGACGCAGCACACATCGATGGCGCGGGATTCTAAAAACCTAGCTAAGGAATCCTGTTGTCCTATTTGGCACAGTGTTCCTACGTTAAATGTTCCTACGTGTAGTTTAGAGCGTGGTTGCAGGAGACCAGGAATAGCGTTCCGCGTACTCGAATCCTTTGCCCTAGCGGTGCGAGGTGATAAAGAGACGTGAGGAGGGTTAGTCATGGAAATAAGAGAGGTATTAGGAGGTGTAGGAAGGATTTGAATGTGACCAACTTGGTCTCGTGTGCTGTTACGGGTATGAGGGCTGATATCACTTCCCAGCTGCCCACATCGTGGAAGGGTATTTCTTGAGGAACCTGAAAAAGAAGTCGGATTAGTGTTGATCTTAACGACCTGGGAGCGTGACCGCAGAGCTCAAGGGACAACTGCTTGAGGCCGGTCGTGCATGGCCCTTTCGTGGAAGGTTTTTAATGTGTTAGCTCCGTTCTTCAAAGGGCCTTACTGTCGGAGACGGAAATCCGTGAGGTAAGGTGAAGTGTGACATTTTTAGGGTCGACCCTTTATAACCCCGCCCCTCCTTGTGGGAAGGCAGCATTGCTGCAGATGCTGGTTGTTCGAGGGAAACACCTTACTGCTGTTACACCTCTCTACAGTCAGCAGTACGACTTCGCCCTCAGACCTTGAGTTGCTGCTTTTAGTCTTGCCGTTCTCCAATCGACCTGCCTGGCATGGTAGAACCTACAGGAACATATGTTCCAGCCAATATAGATCTGTTGGGTCATCACGATAGGCAAGCCCGACCACTGCGTCAAGGTAGCAGCTTCGGTCGGGATCGCTGAAAGCGCTGGGTCATGCATCTGCACCAGATCACGATTGGGTACATCGTGCTTAACATCCCCTGCGATCGCTAGCTTGTCTACATCAGTTGATTCTCGATATATTGATAGCCTATGAAATATATCTTTGAACCTCCTCGCTTTTGTTTTTTGATTTCACTTGGTTGGTACGACTCATTGTAGAAGGTGTTACTGGTTAAAGCGTTGTCAAACTCCAAATACCTGTGGCATCTTCAATAATTACATTTGTAAATAATTGTTGTGTTTAATAGAAACTTGAATATCTATTAGATGTATGAAATTAAAGTAGATTTTGAAAATATATTAATATTTTTTTCTTTCTTTTATTTAGAGAATACAGTACAGATGATGACGACAATGATGATAATGACGATGACGGCGGGGATACTTCAGATGCAGAGAATTCAATTTATGACTTTTGTATTTCAAAAGGTATTGAAAAAACAGATGAAAATATTTCCAACGAAACGGACGTTACACATTTAATATTGAATGATGTAGAAGTATGTTGTAGTTACTTCATGTATAATCGGTTATTCTTGAATACTTTTTTTACATGAGGTTAGTTGTTAAACGTTACTCATGTCGTGGTTGCTTTGTTGATTAGATCATAATTATCTAAACACTAAACGGATAATTTCTCTTATTGAGAATTGTAACTAATTTTTTGGCAGATTGTGATGCTACTTGGCAGCCGATGTAAATAGTTTACATAACTAAGTATCCTTATCCTTTTGTTAAAGAAGGTTTTATCTGTAAGTGAATGAAGGAACATATGTAGATACAACCATATGGTACCTGGTGATTTCTTCGAGCTTTCGCATTACACCAAGTATATGTAAATAGAAGGTGAATAACAAAAATCTGTTATCGGAGTCAGATTTTCTGGGTTTGTTTCTTAATTTTATACGTGATAATTAAATTTACATTGAGGAAAGGTTAATACAATGTTGGTTTCTTAGTCAACGCACTATGATCAACCTTCTTTTGAATAGAAACTTGTAAAACTTACTATTTATTTACAAAAAATCATTGCTTATATGAGAAATATAGAGCTGCAAAACTGAACTAATGTTCTTTATTCATGCCTAGTATATTGTGTATTTATGTAGGCATAAATGTGTTTGTATATTTGTATATTATATAATTTAGACGTTATTTTTACTCCATGGACTTGGTTGTTTAGACGTTTACTTGCCACTTAATGGAAATTCACAGTTTCATTCAACCATTGAATGTAAACAGCCGAATTCGCTGTCTTTGGTAAGATAGAAAGAAATTATTTTAGTTTATTTTTATGTCATGTAACAATTATTTTCCTTTTTATATTCCCTTAAGTGTTTTTTGGTTGCTTATGGATAAATATACAATGTGTACTGTACTGATGACCAGTGTTGTGTAGTCAAAAGTAGTTGTCTGGTAGTTTGTCATTTGAACTTTATCATGTTTAGCCGTATTTAGTGAATTGTGTTTCAAATGTTTGTTATCAAATTTAAACAGAATTGGATGGTGACTGACAGAGGAATCCAAGACGCACTTCTCGTTCTATCTGGAATCCATCAACTGCATTCCAGAACTCATATTCACTCCGATACTCGAACCCCGTATCGTTCGCTTCAAACCCCATCATCACGTTATCCACTTAGCTACTGAATCCAGATAACTACTGGCTTTTGCAGTGGAGTGAATTCTAATCCATATATATTGGTCGTGTAGATCTTCCAACTGATATTTTAGGACTAAAGTTGATCAATCTCTTATAGACATATGTACATCCTGTGCGAATTGCTACTAAGTCACAAGCATTTTTAAGCAAACATAGAGGGTTGCTAGCAGTGAAATCCAAATTGTTATAGGATATTTCAACACTTCCACTTGTATTGTAGGTCAACTAACATCATACATCTTTGAATTGTTGGACAGGACTATACTTTGAAATTATTTACTAATCAAAGTTATATGTTGGGTTTCGCTTAAGCTATTTACAATAAAATCACTGATTCTGTTAGTGTACTTATTTCGTACGATTGATAGCTCATGCAAATTTCCATGTTCCTACATGTATTATCGGAAAATCAAGTTATATTTTGCTATAATTACTATCTGTTACTCAAATTCAATTCATACGAATGATAAAATATATCGGAACATTTATTAAATTTGTAAGTAAATTATACAAAATCTATTAAAAAGCATTTTATAAACACTCACACAAAATACCCTTGCTAATCCATTTAATAAGCAATATCCACATTCCATATCTTCTTTCCCTGTGCCTGTCTCTAAACAACAAGCATTAAAAGTTAATTAGTAATTGGAAGGACGTTTTAGAAAAATCTCTTCAAAATGGTGTTTGGCAGTTGCAACGTTCGTTTACTTAATAAAAGTTGTGTTATATCCAAGCGAAAATGAAATAACGAGTAACTTCTGAAACATTGATTGACTAATATTATCTGTATATTCTTATGGTATAACTATTCAACAATTAGATTATGCATATTTATATTCCTCTTATTATAAGCTGTATTTTGACCCATAATTTATTATTATATGATTTACGGTTCTTAAGCTACGTTCAGTTTATTGACTACTGCCTCCCACGTTCACAGCCACATTTGGCCAAATATTGTACAAATGTTATTTTCTATTTTATGGTACGTTGTGGTCCGTCTGGTTGATATATAAACCGAGTATGTTAGAAATAAATGATTCATATTGCAGAAGCTGGTGTTTGCGTTCTGGACTCAAGTGGACGGGCTAGGCAGACATAGGACCCAATAAGACTCTAGGCTGTTCATACCAGTCGGACGTCATTGGTTTGGCACAGTGCTAAGATTGAATAAGTCGTATTTTGATTGGTGGATAAATCACGTGATAAAAGCCGGACATAAAGTCACAACAAGTTGCATGAAGAATGTTTCTGTACATTCGTTTCTGATCCAAATTTATATCATGGTGTAGTAATGTGTAATTTCAGCATAGTAGCGATAATCATCCCGTATAACTTAGTCACTCATAAATCTCAGCATTTTAGAATTCATCACTTCTTTCTCTTCATATTAATTGATTTATTCTAAATAATAAACAAAGTTCTTATCAGAAGACTAAAATCTCCAATATTCTAAGTGATTAAAACCCATGAAAATGTTTGGAGTATGAAATGGTCCATTCTTTTTTTGACTTTATTTAAACAACACATTCTTTGTTATTTAAAGGTTAATTTTAATGCATATTATTTATCTGTTTAATCAAACTTTAGTATCAGAAGGTTTTTTGTGTGGATATTATAGTAATTTTAATAATTGAGATCATAAGTCATTTGACGATAGATCACCATGGAGAGTTTGGAAGTATTGGACGGCCGTTTCGTCCTATTGTGAGATTCATCAGGAATGCATATCCACGATCCCACCTTGCGAGATTCGAACCCAGGAGGAGTTCCACAATAGGACGAAACGGTCGTCCAATATTTCCAGGTTTTCCGTGGTGGTCTAGCTTCAATTGACTCATTATCTCAACTATTTTAATTAACTTTTTTTAAATCTCAACTAAACAACCAACAAATTATAATCCTGATATTATTTATCACTTTGCTTGTTATTATTAATTTGAAAACATTACATTCAGAATAGATACAATATTAGACATAAATGAATATAGATATCTTGTTATGTAGTGTCTAAGATTGACTATATGTGAACAAACAAAGAGTTCACGTTCTGATTCATATCAACCACTGAATCACTCATATCTGTTATTTACATTCTCCATCACATGATGTAATCAATAAGCTTGTGTTGTTGACATTTATTTTTTTCTATCTTACTCAATATGGAATAGAACATCTTCCATCAGCTATCTTTTAATTGATGATAGTTTGCAACCACTATTATTTGACTCTGTATTATTGATTATGTTTTGGAGCAGCTTCAAGAGTACTAACTCATTGACACTTGGATAATTTGATCCGGTTTGTAGGTATCATTACCACTTAGCGCTCTTGAAGTTGCTTCAATTATAGGACAAGTAATCGCACAACTACCAGAAAGAGTCGTATTCACTACGTCAGAAAACATCCCATATTTCGACTAAACAAAAATACCTTCCGCCTAACATTTCAAAAGAAGAATTGAAGGCTCTACATTCGCTTCAAAAAGACAAAACGATTATAATCACAAAACCTGACAAAGGCAACACAGCAGTGGGCATGAATAAAAAGGATTATATTAATCAAGCTCTTGAACATCTCTCTACAGGACGACATCAAAAGATCGATCTGAAAAATGCTCCAACGGTTAAAAATAAAGTCAATTCAGAGACAAGTCAAATTTTGAAGGAACTAAAACCAATCATTGGTATCTCGCTATGGTTTGCTCTATGTTCCAAACCATGCAATACTTCACGTTTACCTAAAATTCATGAACCAGACACCCCTCCTAGACCTTTAATAGATTTCACGAACACACCAACATATGCATTATCGAAATATCTGAGCAACATATTAAAGCCATTACAACTTAACTTACATAATAAGATTAAAGATTCCTATGAATTTAAATCAAAAATATCTAAATTAATTATCGAAAAGAATGAAATCATGCTAAGCTATGATGTTTCATTATACATTAGTATTCCTATTGATAAATGCTTTGAATTCACTAGTGGTTTACTAGAGAACGACAATAGTCTTTCTGACGGGTGTCCTTTAAGCATTAGTCTAATCATGAAATCCTTAAAACTGCCTAAATTCGACATATTTACTTTTAACGGGACATTATACAAACAAACTAGCGGTGTAGCAATGAGATCCCCAGTGTCCCCGATTGTAGGCAACCTGTTTATGGCACACATAGAATAGAATATTTTCACCAATGATATTAAACCACGAATTTGGCTTAGATACGTAGATGATACCTTTGTTGTGATAAAAAAAGACTCATTTAAAATCTTTTTCGAAACAGCCAAAAAACCAAAACAAGTTGGTGAAGCCTAGTAGGGCCTTCTGAAGAGAAACAGGCAACATCGATGCATGACACAACTACCGGTGTTAGAATAGTTGTTTTGCAATCGGTTGGAGTTTGCCCCGTATGGAACGACCACTGAATTTTGTGTCGTTTTTCGATCAAGCAGTAATTGCGCTGTGATTCTTTGTGAATTCTGTAATCAGTTTCTGGGTATCGTTCAAGTGGGTGATTAGCCAGATCTCTATCACCCGGGTTACCGCTCATATTAGTTCATGAAACTGAGTTCCACTATCCAGAAGGCACAATGAGGACGTGTGAGTCGGATTTTGCCTCCTTTTCCGAAACAGATCAATACATTTTCATCACACATCAAATATACGAACGAGATTGAAAATGAACGTGGTGAGCTACCATTTTTACGTTGCTCGGCGTAGAGAAATCTAAATGGAATTCTAAATCTATCCATCTGCCGAAAACCTACATACTCAAATTGTTATATTGACTTCAATTCAGAACATCCATTCGGTGCAAAGATCTCGCTAGTCCCAAGTGTTTTTAGAAGAGCTAACAAGATAATCACATCAGAAGAGGATAAACAAAAAGAATAAAAGAATGTAAATAGCATCTTACAATTTAATAATTTTCCTATGAAGATTATTAGAAGTGTATTAAAACTATGTTTCATCGCTCAATAATTATTATCTGAATGAAATACCATGGATTGGTATTGCAGTTTTACCATGCCGTCATGGTACAACAGAACTCTAAAGAATTTTAAAATAACACAATTAAAGTATATTACAAAACAACGAACACATTTCGAAATACTTCAGTTCGCTTAAAAGAAAAAATCCCCTTTATGTCAACACAGAACTATGTCTACAAATTAAGATGTGTCGATTGTGATGCCTTCCATATTGGAAAGTTATCTCGTGAAATCTTGACTCGAGTCAAATAACATATTAGGTACACAATGAAACCACCTAATAACCCCGTAGAACTGGGTAGACTTCATATTAAATTGACAATAGCAGTTCACACCATTTACAATAACCACCAAATCGATTTTAAAATATTACAAAAAGGTTTTTCCAATTACAAAGAAAGGAGAGTAGCTGAATCGTTCCATATATTGCTTAATCCTACTGCTGTCAATAGAAAAGAAGGCTTTACTATACATTCTAGTTGGACTATCTATCCTAGCCACCTAGTCTGATATTATTCACATTTCACACTAGTATCGTACATACAAATTAAACTCTATCCTTTCTCACCATAAAGGTTACATATTTTTTCATCCTTACCGTGCACACTACACACACAAATATCACTTATGAATCACCTTGACCGAAATGACACGACAATGATTTGTTCAGATCGGTTCTTTGATTGATCGCACATAATATTCTTACGTTGTTCCTTTGTACTATTTAAACTTGGATTAAATTTGATCTGGTTATTTATACTCTGAAGAAATGGCTTACACTGAGTCACGAAACGTCGGAAAATTTGATTTTTTTTACTCATCGGGATATTAGGAATATATGATTTTTATTTATAAGAAGAAATTTTATTTACTTATGCATAGTATGTTTTGCCAATTGAGCATTATATACTTTTTATTTCTCCTTTGTTAGTACCTTTAAGAGAACCTTCAGATTGGCTTTTTGTATTACGTGTATTAAATAATTTGTAAAATCATTGCTTGTAATGTCTTTTTATTTTCTCATTTATTCAATAAATAGACTGAGGTCTGGTTTTGTTTGTGTACAGGATCTGTTGATTCAACTTGTTTACAAATTCAATCAGCACGAAAACAAATTGAAAAGTATTCAGAAAAAGAGCTCCATCTATTACGCCGTTATGCTGTATACATATATTATAGATCTAAGGGTTGGATTGTACGCCCCGGATTATGTGTAGGTGGTGCTGATTACCTACTTTACGCTGAAGATCCCAATTGGAGACATGCTTCATTTTGTGTTCTAGTTGATAGGGATTCTACAACTAAGGATGGAGAACAAATGAATTGCAGTTCAATAGCTGCACGTGTTCGTGTTGCACATTCGGTTGGTAAAGTAAGTTTATTTAATTGTATTTTGTGTATAACCTTCATAGTGTAGCTTGGATCAAATATAGTCCTTAAGATTTTGAATATTAATTTGCTTTTTAACTTGAGGATGCCCATATATTGTATTGATATGCGTTTTCGTAATTCTATCATAAATTATGTGAATGAGTAAGTATAAATTGCACTTGAATGGTTGGGAAAATGTCTAATCATAAAGGAGGATTCAATCATTGTCAACGTCTAAGACTATGATTATAGGAGATACAAGTTTGAATGCAACGTCAGGCATAATTATCGTCGTGATTACAAACATAATTTGTTAGCGAGTGCCAACTGCCACAGAAAGTACATTGAATAAGATTTCTTGCCTATTGACTGAAATTTTCATCTTGTTTTTCAACCAGTTGGATATTGTCAGTGTGAGGTTGTGGAGATTGTTGAATTTCGTTGAGATCAAGAATTGGTCTAATGTAGACAACCATTGTGAACCTGGAAACACTGAATAACTGTTGCATCCTAGTATGGGTTTCCTCAAAAGTGCTCACGCTTGAACATCTTCCATTGTCTTCGGTGGTTATCTTTCTCACACCCGATGCAGTTTCCTTCCACTGATCACGGCTTCTCACTACAATTACTTGAATTTCCTCCCGAAGTTAGTCACTAGTGAAAAGGGAATATGGAGACTGATCGGTTGTTATTGAATAAAATACAAATGAAGTTGATTAAGTTTTCATGATGTTAAATAAGAGAATTGATTTGCAAAAATGCGACTGATTAATATGTTCTCAACTACAAACATCACTTATAAGAATATGAAATAGGTTAATCTAAGCATTCACAAGATTCTCTTTTAGAAATTGTGTTCTGTGATATTATTGGTTGCTAATTTTATAAAATCCAATTCCTTTATTAAAGTTTATAAGTGGCACAAATGACTATTAAATTTAAAAGATACTTTTAGTAGACTGATCTAGAATTCTCATTTTCGATGACAAAATTTTTATGAAAATAGAAAAAGGATACTTTTATAATTTTATGCGGTCTTTTAATCCAAATCTTTTCATGATTTATATCATAAAATAAATTCATCTAAACAACTAGGGAAAACCAGGAAGCAGTAGACATCCCTTTCGTCCCAGTATGAGACTTCTCATAAGTACACATCCATGACTTCATCGAGGACCGAACCCAGAGGCCTAGATCAACGCCTAAATTTTCGACTACCTAACTGATAACCAACGTTAGAGAGAGCAAGAACGAAGACTGGTGCGAAATAATATGAATTCATTTTATTTCGTTAGGTTCTCACCTGCTGTTTACAATCTATAATATTTTAAAATCAACGTTGTTACAGATATTGACATACTTATACATACGAGGGTGATTATGGATGAATACGTGTATCATGATGCAGCGAAGATTCCGATAGAGTCAATAAGGTCATAAAAAGTTTTGTTTCGGATAAATAAAGTTTAGCAGGAAAGGTTCTAGTACATAAAGTTAGTGATTATTTCACTGTTTCATCGGAATCACTATTTATTCATGAAATCGTCGGAAATGCGCTTCTGCACTGGATCGTTTCCAATTTGTGCCTCTATCACTCGTTTCAAGTCATTCCTTTTTTATTACTCGATGACTGCTATTCATCGCAAAAAATTTATAGATTTCAATGTTTTCATACTTCTGATGACGGTCAATTTCTAAAAAAGTTAATCATTTCCTTTCTTAAATCTACAATTATGTTAGCGTGTGATACTCTGTCGCGTAAGTCTTCCGTCAATCGAGGAGTTTTCTAACAATCCATGGGAAGCTGTTCGAAAAACAACAATTAAGGTAAATAGCAACTCCTTTTTCGTGACGAACTAACTAGTTATTGATTTTTTGGGGACGGATTGAAATTAACTGTGAAATTATTTTTCAAAATGAAAAAGGACTAGACAGGTGTTTCGTTCTAGTTTGTGAATTCGCAACAGTATATAAGAATAACTCTTCCACAGCTCGAACTCAGGACTTTTATAGCCCGCTGTCAGAACCTTATCTTTAATCCATTAAGTATTTTCATACTTCCAAAAGACTGTGTTTATGAAGAACAAGTATCATTTGGATAACCAGTGAAAAGCTGGAATTAATCAAGTTTTTAAAACTGAACAACATTTCATTACTTATTAGTGAGTTTATGTGACAATATACATTTGCAAACTCGAACAGACCGTGACTTTTAAGGTAGTCTAAAGCGGGAACTATAATACATGTTTGAATATACCAATGATCAGTTTTCTGAGGACTAAAAGTCCTTTCATAACTATAACTTGATATTATTGTTAAAAAGTGAAGTTATTTATATGATATCTGTTAAAACAAATATCTAAAGAGTGGATGCCATATAATGAGACCTGGTCTTTTCTCACGATTTGTATTTTTATTAGGGTATAGGAAGGTTTGTGTAAGCTGCATAGTCTTTACAATTTCAAACTACAGACTGAAGAATCTCCTGCTAGGATGGTATAACTATTCAGTGCCTCCTGGCTCCTTATGCTTATCTAGTTATAATCAGTTAGTAATGTAGAAGCATATTTTATGCTCGATCATTATGCTACTTAATATTCAAAAGTAGTGTGTAATTTTATATTTTTCTCAATATATGCATATTTACGTACTATTGATTAAATTTTTATTTATTTTAGGAAACTCTCATTGATTATTGGAAACCGAAAGCTAAATAATAAAAACGTTTGAGAACCAGTTTAAGTTTTAAGGTACAATGTGCCTTAAATATATTTTCAGCGAAATCGTATTTCCCAATAGCGGTGATGTACATATATTTAAAATTTACTGGTTTTCTATGCAATAAGATACTGTATTTTTCTCCCTTCGAATACGTCTTTTACTTGTTGTTGCTATACCGTCAGGTTTACAAATGTTCACTCATTAAGTTGCCTAGATCATCCAGTACTTACGTATATGTGTTATGATGTTGTTCACATACATACGTTGTAGAGATTATTGATTTTTACCGAGATTACCAGCCGACCTATGAAAACCATCAGAAACCTGAAAGCACTGGATGAACATTTCGCTTTAATATGGGATTGCTTAGCAGTAGGGATGTACGACTTGTAATCTGGAGTCGAATCAAGACCTTCGGTCTCGCGTGCGAACGCTTAACCTTTAAACTACTGAGCTTCGATGTAAATGATATGCAAGTCATTACGTATGAAGTATATCGAATCATACTTGAATTTAGACAATAATGTATAGTCGTCCTACCAATCTGAAAAGATTGAGGCCACTACTAAGAAGAGTATTAGTCATTTCGAAGGATACTGGAGCCTTTGTGAACTGATTAATGCAAATTGCTGGAGTATTTCATTGAAATCATGAACCGATCTGAGTTACACAACCATTGAAAATTCGGAAGCACTGGATGGCCGTTTCGTCCCAGCATGGGACTCCTCAACGGTGTGTTGGATTGTTAATCAAATTACTGTGATTAATCAGTTCTAGGGTAAGCAGCTATTTAATAAGTGTTAACTATACCAATTCTATATTTCAAGAGGCTAATATTGAAACTAAAACAAATGAATAGTGTAATCTGCAGATTGTTGCACCTCTAGTATCCTAAACCGTTCAAATAAAGTGTATGAATGAATACATTTTGTCCAATCTCTACCTTGAATACTTACAGATCACTTTCGCCCGAACTGCTTCTAACCAAAAGCTTATATATTATATGAAAGTAAGCTGTGATTGAGCAAGGACAGACATCTGGCTACAGTGAACATATTTGTTTATAAAACGTTTATTCCAATAACTTGTTTTGTTGATTGCATTGAGCTATTTTTCAATAACCTGTTGTTCAAGCCTATATCTGGTTCTTGATCATTGATTGGTTAATTGATTCGACTGTATCATTTGACCAAATATCATGTTCTAGTGGGCAATCTAATTTTTAGCCATACTTACTTGATTATCCATTATCAAATGTTGTGTAGAATTGTCAATGATACCCACTTTTTATTGTCTTTACACATCTGTTGGTTCTAATAAATATAGGTTCATATAAATCTATCACTTAAATAAACGATCCAATTCATTCAATGCATATTCCTCTTGGTTTTCAATTCTAGTGGTTCTTGATGAATACCTTTTATCTTTACAAACCGAACTCTCAAGGTTTAATTTATTTATCATTACTACATTATTTCAAGTTTTGTTGTTTTCATCTCATCGCGTTAATGTAATATACAACTTAGGTCAACTAACATTTTTCTCAGACTCTAGATTGATAAATTCAGTTGGTATTGTTTCACTCGTATCTTCCCATTGAGGTTTAAGACCGCAATTGATCAGTCTGTTATTGGCATATGTGCATACTGTGCGTGTGCCTCGATATTGTCTTAATTCACAAGCTTTTATAAGCAAAGATGGATAGTGGCTAGCAGTGGAATCCAGGTCGCGCGTTTCGTCCTGTTTGGGACTCGTCAGCTGGATGTACCTGTATCTCAGAGCTGATGATCACTCTGGGACTCGAATCCAGTTCCATTGATTTCAAATGCCATCGCATTATCCATTCAGCTACCGAATCCTGATTGATAATATCTATCTTAAATCAAAACTGGAATAAATTTTTGATTTGTTGTATATTTTGAAGTCCTGAGTTATCGGTATGCATTATTTCATTTTATTTATAGATAATGCTAAACATATTTAATATCAGCGGTAATGTAAAAAATCCCAAAACAAATAAAAAATAGCGCGGGGGGGCTGATGAAAAAAAATAGTTTACACATAAAAAAACTAAAAAAGAAGTTAAATGAACACCTTGGAATTAATTTTCTTGAGACAAAAATTCATGTAAGTAACAAAGCACAATTTACAATTAGATACTTCAAACGTTTGTTAGAGAGAGAAAAAAAGGAAGGGGGGAATATAATTTGAAGGGGAAGATTGTATTAGAAAAAAGTGATTTTGAATAGAATGCACTTTACAAAACAGGCTTGTTTGTTTTTCTTTCTTTTGTTACTATTATACTGTTTGGTGCGGTTAAAAGAGAAAGCAAATAAGACCTTGACTAGGTATATCGAGAGACAGATTCAAAAAATGGAATTTTTTGTGGTTCGAGCACAATTTTAGAGAAGAAAAAAATACTCATAATAAATGCAATACTGTGATGATAGGTTGTTGTTGTTGTTGTTTTCTTTCTTCGTTTGTTTACCTTTTTCATTATTACTTTCGATTCATTGGTTTAGCTTTCTGGAAACAATTGTGAAAGATTGATATGTAATATAAGGAAGAAAGAATATAACATTCAAATAGAAGATAAAAATCTGATGATGTGTGCTGAACGATACATTATTCAATATTAAATATTGAGCCTTATTTGACAATTTCAGCTAGACACATTCATCTGTATTTATAATTAATCATGTTAATTACCATTACGATCGATGGACTTAATCATCTAAGCTAACAATTTCTTGTACACAAACAAAAAGTGTAATAATGTTGAATTGGAGAAGAAACAACTGGCTACATACATTTTAGATTAAGATATGCAGTAGCAGTTTCATTCGAACGTTACTATAAGATTATTGTAAACGTTTAGTGGTATAATTGTTCCTACCAGTTCAGTCGGTGGTAAATTAGTTAGTCGTTAGTAAAGAAGCTATCAGTTTACTATAACACGAAATGAGCCATAAATCTATGTTTAATTCGGCTGGAATTTCCTATTTCCAACTAGCACCAATTTCGCTTATTTTTCAGATAACCGTTCAAATAATTATCGCTTACTAGTGAGTGACCGGTCTCGACCGATAAATTAATTTTAAGATGTCATTTAATAAAAAGAAAGATACTTAAGACGTAGGATTTTTGTAGCTCTAGTCGATTCTTACAATGGTGTTGTGTTCCGTGACCTCAGTGCTTTAATTAGAGGACTTTTATCATCCTTCTAGACAACATTATCAGTGCCTACTTCACGAATATCCACAATTAAGCCATTTATCTCAAAAAGGCTAGATTATAAATTATTTGTCTTTAAGAAATGTAATAAAACTTGGGAATCGCTTTGTTACATAATACAGACATAATAAGCTGTAAATAAAGCAGATCTCAGTTTACATATCTTTTTCTTAGAAAGATAACCGCATATATACCTTAAATCCGCGTACAATATGGATTAGTTTGCCAAATACCACTTACAAGTCATTTCTGACTAGCATAGCTGATTGGACAAGTATAAAGGTAGTGTGTCTACTTCAGTCCAGATTACTTTTGGAGCCATGATTTTTACTGCTTTTTATTTGGCATGTTGGGATGCGCCATATCAGCGTGTTCATAGTCAGTCAAACACAACGTAGAAACTGGTACATTTCTACATTAGTCTAAGTTGCTACACTCTATTAGCACAGTGAGATAGAATTGTCAGAAGTCTGAGAGTAGTGGATGGAGTAAGTGCTCTCAGTAATAGAAGAGATCGGACATCAAATGTAAGATTCGAGAAAGTATAGACTAGCGGAGTTGAAAAAGTTTATAAGAAATTAAGAAGCTTCGTATCTAAGAGAAAACAAACATCAAGTGCATCTTCGCCACTGCGAACTGTTTTAAGTTATGTCACTCAAATCATTGTTTGCCGTAATCACTTGCAATTCAACCAGTCAGTCTGAACTTACCGATATTGCTCAGTTCAACAGCCTATGTATTTATGAGACAATATATATTGGCTTGGTCGTTCCTAGCCTTTTCTCAACCTGATCTCACATCGATCATCATCGCCCGCTGAGTTATTTATTCAGTCGATAAAATCTCACTACTTCATCCCTATATAGTATTCTGCGTCTAACTTTGGGAATGTTAACTCGATACAATTCATTGTAGATAGGTGTAAGTAACTTCAGATTCTTGAAATGAAATGTTCAGTGGAAACTACTACTGTGAAATGCAACACTCACCCACTGGATGAAGCGAAAATGCTGGGTACCACTGTTATGGAAGATTGAGAAATGGATGGATGACCTCAAACAATCTATTATTATCTCAGGGTACTTACAAATTTTTTTGCATGATTAAGTAGTTAGAAAGATATATGAGTAGAATATGTCAGCATATAATAGTGATTTCATTTGTCCGTTTCTTAAGTTAAAGACACGAGTGGTAGATTTTTTAAATACAAATTATGCAATAATATTTGGTAGCCAGATTTTGTGTGATATGAATATCAACGTAACGTAACAAATGCTTACTATTAAATACTCAATTGACAGCTTATTTCACCTTTAGACAAAATAGTACACAAACCTAGTCATCTTCCTAAGTACATAATGGGTTGTTTTTTTTTCTAAAAATGGTAATAATTGTGAGTTAATTTTAGGTACGAAGGGAATGGCCAACGCCCAACTTAGGTGAGTCAGTATATGTAAAATTGAATGGTTGATCAATTTATTTGGATAAATCGCAACCGATAGTTGTTTTGCTAATGTTTTTGAAATATAGGAAATATTTATGAACTTAGTAAGGTCATAAAACAGTATTGACCTAGAGCTAACTTCAAGGTTATCAATTATAACGAAAGTGGTTGTTTATCAGTCATCTCCTGAATAATTTGACTTCAATGATGCTAATGTATTTGAATCGTCTGAATGGTGAGTGTTTTAGATTATTTATACCGTCGAGAATTGCTGAGTACATTGCTCGTTTGTCAGTCGGATACAATTTTAACGATCATTATTTTAAATGTGAGACAATATACTTTCATTGAATGATGTATTTGACTCGTTGAAGTCTATGTTTTCATATGATAAAAATCATGAAATGACCTTGTCCACTATGGAAAAACACGCCTCATTGAATCTAAGCATTATATACATGTTCGAACTAGATCTTTGAGAAACAACAGTGGATGAACATACAGAGTCATTGAATATTGACACCGCTTAAAAATCTATCTTTACATTTGTATGACACAACCATTCGTTTAAGTTGCACTCTTGGTGTAATTATCACCCATTCTCAATAGTATTATTGTCTTAAATCAGTTGATCAATAAGAATCGTGAAGCCTGCAGTAACTATTTCATTCACTGATATAAAGAACTTCGAATAAGGAGTTATAAAAGAAATGTGGAGTCTATATAACGGTAATATTGTAGAACTCACTTGAACAAATGTATTTGGTTGACTTTGAATTTTCTGGAAGAAAACAAAGTATATCTCAAATAAATTTAATATATGAAAACAAGCAATCACAGTAAGTCCTGAATCACTTGGATCCAATCCTGATCGCTCAATGAAGAGAATCCATCGGTGTAGTAAAATATAAATTTCCACAAATCTTTATACTAATTTTAAATAAGTTAGTCTTACCAATGTTTAGTAAACATAATAATAGTTACTATGTTGAAAAAAAAATTAAAAATGCACCAAATGAAAATGAAGGCAATCTAGCTTAACTCTATGCATACTACTTAATTTCAAATGAATTATAAGAGAGAAAAAAACACTATAGTCAGTATATGATCATGCACATGACCGTTTCTATTCATTTACATAGGCATTAATCAAATGCATTTCTATTGATCAAGGTCAATGAAATATAGATGTATTATGATTTGTTTCACCTCATTTCTAATTCATAGAAACAATGTGTAAAAAGAGAAATGAGAAATTGTATTTTATTTATGTAATGAAATTTTCACTGTACGATAAACAAAGATTATTAAAGTGTAAATTATCATGTTCTATGTAGTATTCCATGAATCTACTTATTCGCCAAACGACAGTTGAAACGAAGGTGTGCTGGATTTATAACCCTGTTTGATCTTAAGTTTATAACGGATGCTCCCCTAAGTCGGTCTGAACAGTTGGATTATTGTCAATAACTTTATGATGTTCTCCAGTGCATCGTTTTTTTTCGTAGTTGCTGAGTTAAGCTGATCGAGAAATTTATAGCTCAGGCAGTATTATATTCTTATGAGCTAAACAATTTTTAGGTGCAAAGTATTCATTCCAACATTAACTAAGGCTTACTAATCGTATAGAGATTGTCAAAACTTATGATCCTCATCAAAGAGTGAACTAAATAATATGGTCTCTGTAAGCCAGGAAGTAATTAATGGCTATTTCGATTTAGTTTAATGCATATTCATGAACTCATTGGCGGTCAAAGTCAGGTGATCGTACGATATCGTCAATTGATTGAAATTAGAAGCACAAAGCACTGGTAAGGTCTATTCAATAACACATAATACAGATTGGTTCAGTAAGGCAGTAATTAATATGTTAGACGTAGAGCGGTTGTTAAGTGGTTAAAAAGATTTAGTGTTCGACGATTAAATTGTACCATTTGGACACTGCACCTACCTTGGATTATTTAGGTGATCAGTATCACTAAGTGTTATACAGAAAATTGATCTTATAGCCAGTTTCTCAATCTACACTTTATTAGTAAATTTATGCGAAACGTTCGGGACAAAAGGAATAATTTTATAGAATACATAGAGTGATGTCCAGTATTACTCGTTTTTATCAGTATAGGGTTGTGGAGATTACTAAGTTTTTGACTGAGATCACGAACCGATTGATACTAAAGCTAATCCGTGTCGGATAGAGACAATTATTTACACAGATTGAAATCATGAGTCAGTTGAAGCTAGACCACCATTGAAAACCTGGAAGCACTGGACGGCCGTTTCGTCCTAGTATGGGACTCCTCAGCAGTACAATGGAAGATGGTTGCGCAATTTCGTGGGTTAGTTGAGGTTAAGCATCAACACCGTTGGATGTCGTCTCAGTGGTCTCGAGGTTAAGCGTTCACGCGCAAAACTGAAGGCCTTAGGTTCGAGTCACACAAGCGGGATCGTGGATGCGCACTGCTGAGGAGTCGTACAAGTGGACGAAACGGCCGTCTAGTGCTTCCAGGTTTTCAATGATGGTCTGACACCAATATGTTCATGATATCAATCAAATTCCTTGTTTTTATTAAATTACATATAATTCACAAATTTTAGACTACACTACTTATTAAACAACTGGACTATAAGAAATTAAGCTATTTAATTTAAAAGATAAAGCCTTATGCTGTAAATCATAGTAAGACAAATAAAATTTTAATATCAAGTGACTCCTATCAACAGGGAATTTTGCTAGAATTCGTAACTGGAAAAGTTTTAACCCTGAAGATAGAAACTAAACTATAATCTACATAATTCTCAAGTATTTGTGACTTTTTTTACATCATCTTATAAAACCAGTCATATTAATCAATATCTTCAGAATGAATTCCGAAGATTATCAAACTTTTAGTTCTAATCATTACTAACTGATAAGTTCTTCTGGTATCGATTTCTTCTAATGTATAATCTGTTGAAACTTCACTGGTGAATAGTTGAGTGGTATAGCCTTTGATAAGTACCAACTAGCTATGAAACTATTCCTAAGGTTATTTATCGATTATTTCTGACTATCAAACATCACATCGATACAAAGATGGATAGTGGCTAATAGCGTTTCGTCACTATTAGCTACTATCCATCTTTGTATTTTGTAATGCTTGTGAGTTAAAGCAATACTGAGGTATACGCACAGTATGCACTTATGCCAATAACAGACTGATCAAGTACAGTCTTAAATATCAATGGGAAGATTCAAATAACAATACCAAATGAATCATATCGATACTTTCTCACAATGAATATTGTACCTACACACACACTATAAAACTAATATTAACACACAAGTTGTAAAATAAACTCTAAAACCATTTTTTGTTTACTAACTTCAATTTAACCTAACCCAAATTGAAATTAAACACAGTAAAAAAAAACTGTTATACAAAGGGGAAAAACTGAAAAGATTACAAAACTAGTTTACTATTTCAAACAAACAAATTGATCATCATTAGCGAATAGAAACAATTAAACTAATCATATCTTCTAATAAATTAATATCCACCCCCCTCAATGGAGAATAAATAATTTTTTTGTTTTTTTTCAGTAATTTTCAATGTTCATTTCTTTTTTGGTTGTTTTACTGAAAAATCTATGAACCTAAAGATAAATTATTTGTTTAGTTGACTGGTTTCAAAGAGACTACATAACAACATTGATTATTATGTTTAGAAAAACAAACAAACCAATGAAAAGTTACTTTTGTCAAGATAAATCATTTTAATAGTTGAGATCATGAGTCAATTGAAGCTATATGATCACCATGGAAAACCTGGAAGCACTGAAAGGTTGTTTCGTCCTATTGTAGGACTTCTCAGCAGTGCGTATTCACGATTCTGCCTCATGAGATTACAACCCAGGACCTATCAGTTTCAATATAGGAAATAATAATAGTGTAGTGTCGGTTACTATGTTAAGCCCATATAATTGATTCTAGCTTCTGGATAGGCCAATTTACCCATTCTTCTTGAGTCACGTTTTGACCTTGTTAATAATTCATTTATCAACTTTGACTGTTCTTATAGGGGAGTTTGCGTGTGTACACTTCTTCTCCTATTCATCACATGTCTGTAGCTTATTTTTGTGTGACTATAAATATTGAGTTACACTTGATTAAATGGAGATAGCTCACACACTTTCTCCACTGCACGCCATCTCGCTTCGCTCTCTTTTCTTCGCTTCATTCCTCTGATTGTCTGTCCAGATCAATGAGTGTACAAAATATACGTATTTAAACATCCATTCTCATATTTGAGTTATTTTATTTCGTTATTCACCAACGCGATTTAAATCGATGATTATATACAAGGCTTGGTGATACGTATATTTCAATAACAATCATCCCTATGATACAATTGGGGTCAGATAAGCGGCCACTAAAATAGTATTAAGTATAGTAAAAAAAATTGATCTTCATTTAGTTTTCGTGCAAATCAATTCCATAATTTGAATGAAATATTTATTCACTGTGTTAAAAGAAGTAAGTTGTAAGTATACAATCTATTCTGAGTAACTTCGGCTTTGATAATCAGTTGGTATCACTAACCTCTTTATAAAATAAACTGTACTTCAAACATGAGTACATGAAATTTCGAATATTTATTGAGTTAGAATAGTAGTACTAAAACATATTCCTATGTATAATATTACCAGATATATAACTATGTGAACTCATCAGATCCCAACTAAGATAAATGTGATGGATGGTGGCTAACAGTGGAATTCAGGACACCTGTTTCATCTTATTTGGGACTCAATAAACACGTCCTTTGGTTGGTAGACGGATATCTCGCCTACGCCATAAATAACGCAAGTTGGCAAAAGCTAGTCGAGCCTTCTGTATCCGTGCTGAGATTTCGTCACACACCTTGTGGTCAATTGATGAAGTAGTGAAACTTCATCAGTTGAGATGGCTGGGACACGTGTTACGTATGCCCAACCACCGACTACCTCGACGTGCTATATTCAGTGGTATAGGAGTAGGTTGGAAGAAAGCTAGGGGCGGCCAGACCAAAACATGGCACAAATCCATGAAGTCACTGACAAGTGGACTGAGCCATGTTGGTAGGTGTAGACTACCTGGTTGGGGACCGCGAGATGATAGCAACCGATGGTTAGAGACCCTGAATGACATGGCTCAAAATCGTTTGCAATGGCGCAGGTGCATCCACTCTCTATGTTCTCCCAAATTCTAATTATCTGAATTCTTCATGCCCCTTTTTTCCTCTTTCCAAATTTATTTCACTGGATTATACTCGTTAAATAACATCTCCAAACCCTAATCTTCCCGATTACTGCTTATACTCTTGCTGCCTCTACCACTACGGGATTTGAATCGACCACTGCATCTCTGTGCTAATGTGGTATGGCAACTCGAACTGATGTACGTACGTACGAAGTTCTACGTTGTTACTGACTGACTGACAATAAGAAGATTCAAACATCCGATATAAAAATGAACTAAGACGAATGTGATTACAAGTTCTTGAATATTAGAATAATTGGTGGCTAGAGGATATAAAATATGTTCAATTTTTAGTCAGTTTTCCTCACAAAGTGGTACATGCTGGAGAACAATTAAAGCACGAGGAGTTGTGATAAATCGGATTCAATCGCATTAGAAGTCAAACACATATCATTACTCTCCTTAGTATAAATCTACTGACGTAATATGGATGATTATATGGAATACTGGTCTTTGATCCACTGATTTAATTGTATCGTGCTCATGGCGAGAACACAAGGTCGCGTGTAGATTCGTGGATGCATAAAACCAGGGAGTTCCAAAATTTATAGTGAATCAGCTATTAAGTTACCTTTTGTTTTCAATCGTTTCAAGGTAGTCATAACTCCGTGACAATTACTAACTTCGAATTGTTAGTATTTTGAGTGTAACTAACCAGAGCTAGATTTATAGCATCATACTGATAACTAATTTTATTGTACTAGATTGACAAACTACGTCCTCTTGCTACAATGACGACTTGATTTTCAAGAAGGTGTTGGGATTCGAAAAGGAAATGTTGGTGATCTTCAGAACTGTTATGAAATAAGATGGAGTAGTTATGTCTCTAATTTTTATAGCATATCATAAGCATAGCTAAATTAACACTTGGTTGGTAAGTAATTCGGCTAAACAATTTAGTTGTTAAATAGTTCAGAAACAAAGTGTTCGAATGTTGTTCTCAAATCACTTTCTTTATTGGCTGTTATCATATATTCACGACCATTTATCAGTTGACTAAGTGTTCGACGTTTACTATAGTTAGTTCTTGTACTTTCTCTATAAAGGATAGTTTCAGGTTGTCAAATTAGTACTTATTATTACATTCGCAAGCGTTTTTTAGCGAGTTAGTTTTCTACGGGATGGGGACGCTAACCTCATGCCCAACCCTCCTCCATTATCCGGGTTCGGGACGGCAGTAGCCCTTGGAGGGACTTCCAACCCATCCTGTCCTGGGCCTTCTTTTCTAGTTCCATTCAATTCTTGTTCATTTTTCTCAAATGGAGATAGACATGAGAAAAATGAATAAGAATTGGATGGAACTAGAAAAGAAGGCCCAGGACAGAGTGGGTTGGAGAATGCTGGTCGGCGGCCTATACTCCATTAGGAGTAACAGTCGTAAGTAAGTATTACATTCACAAGGTAAACGTCAAACACAGCTGAAACTAAACTTTTATTAATTTCCATTTTTCTTTCAGACAAAATTGTTAGCCTTTGATAACGTTGTCAACTCTCAGGAACAGCATGCTAAAATGATAATCGTTTTCAGTTGACTTACATTGTGAAAATCTGTCATGATGACCTTGATATGTGAAGATTCAAAATTGGAGCAATAAGAAAGTTTTTAATGACACATAAACCAAAATAATAATATCTCGCTACTATGAACTATGTGACTAAAGCTTTTAAGCACCTTCTTCAAACATTATACAATAAATAGTGTTCTCCAGTGACTTTTACATGTATTTTTTGAATACGCTTCGCGACCTAAAACGTTCAACGAGCTTCAAAGTAAATAGCATGATTTTACCTAGAAACTGATGGAAATCTATGCATGAATCACTTTATTTTTTAGTTTGACTGTTGAAATGAACAAACTAATAACTTCGAAAGGTATAAGTTAGGCAACAAATACAAGGTAGAGAAGAATCGCCATAAAAATTGAATTCAAATTTGCCTCCTACACTATTGATTTGAACATTGTAAAATAATGAGTATCTTGACAAAAAGTATTTCACTAGTTTTTAACAGAACAAATGATCAACATCTATCAAAATCAAACTTACAGTGTTGGGAAATGATGATGAAAATTTAAATAAATTTTCAGATGGGATAAGCTTCTTCATTAACTGATCTGTTTTCATTTTTTGCTTAGTTCTTTTCATTGGACGAGCAGTTTGAATAATCTTTTAACAGAACATACAAAAAGGAATAAAGAAGACATTTTGTTTGTAAAAAATTAACAAACTGTTATTGATACAAATAATGATGAATGCGTAAATAACGCCTGAATAGTTAACAGATATATATAACTAGGGGAGATTTTCGAATGTGATAGTTTGGTAATATAGTTATGACGATTCATAAAGACAATTTTTTTTAATTCACTCTTTATCTTCAAGGATCGGGCGAATGTTCTAATGACAAAATAGATGACAAATTATTTGATCTTCGATAGAGATGGTTATCCACTTAGATTCGTCGATAAGAACTCAACAACTAGACTACATCCCGAAAAAGCACCAAAAGTGCAAAAGAAAACTTTTTATGAATGTGGAATTTAAGGAAGATATGGCTGCCGAACTCCTGGATAAACGGATTGCGAAATCCCTGAATAAAACTTCCTACTCAGTAATGTCTTCTCAAGCCGGCGTACTATTCACGGATGTGTTAAGGACAAACTTCCGCTTTGTGTTACATAGATGTGCATCTGTCAGTTTACTTGTACCTGTGGGGCAGGATACATTGGCCTCACAAAATTATCACTTTCTAAACGCATCTCAGAACATTATCCAACGTGGCTTTTAAAAGGAGAATGAAAGACAGTCACCAGTTCAATACAGGAACACCTTGTCAACTTTGAACACTTTGCTCTGAAGGAGTCTTCCTTTAAAATGATCTAGATAATCAAACGAACTAGAACGAAGGGAGGTCGAATAAAAAAACGTATGCACTGTTGAGACGTTTGTGACCCACCAATTCAAGTTCGAACTCTGAGTACAAAAATGATACGTTCAATCTATCATCGTTCTTTTGCCCTAATTCTCTTTTGTAGTATGTTTTGTAATTTCAAACCTTAATCAGTTATTATTATAACCTTTTTCTTTATATATGTCAAGCGGACAATTATCTTTCATAATTCTGACCCGTAAATTATCTTCATCCTTCTATTCTTCTCTAGCACGTGATTATTACGTAACCTCTTTGGATATTTGGATTCTAGGATCAATTTATGATGCAATTGTTTTTATCTTTCTATAGACATATATTTATCACACAACTATAGATATGAATGTACATCTCCAGTAAATGATTTTGTTGAAAAGAAAATTTTCCTCACTGAATTTTCATTATTTTTATTTGATGACACAATGGACTATTTTAAATGTATCACTGTACAGTTCGATTGATAATCAGTTCCATAACAGAATAACAACATGATACTAAGCTAAATATCATCACTATATAAAATGACATATCGAACTTACGGAATTTTCTGTCCATATTGAAGTATCTGGATTACTAGATGAAGGTTGTTGTAGAGTCGATGATTTATTTGAATGAATCGATTTTAAATGTGAATGAGAATCAGAATTTGTAATACATTGTGGTTGTTGTCGTATACTTGTAGATTCTTTCAAAAAAGGCGCAGAGAATTTATGAAATGTACACAATAAATTAGATTGAATTAATTTTGTTTTGCAGTCAATAGAAGAACAATAGTCATTTTTTACAAAATTATTCTCTTTTGAATACATTATTGGATTGAACTGGTGATTCATGTTTATAGTTTGAGGATTATATAACAAATTCAATGGAGGTTGTTCGTAGGATGAAAGCTAAGTAAATAAAAAAACATCATATATATATATATATATATATATATATATATATATATATATATATATATATATATATATATATATATATATATAAACTGTGCCTGCAGCCCCTCTGTGGCTACTGCTGGTCCCAAGCCGAGATAAAAGAGGAGGGTTGGGCATGGAGTTAGCGACCGTATACCGTAGAAAACTAACTCGCTAAAAAACGCTAACCAAAATATATATAAATTAATCGTTAAGACTATTAGCAGATGAGTGTCTATTGTACGAAACTTTAATAACTAATTATTACTAAGAGTTAGAAGTTTATAATGCCAACTGACCCAGTGTTTCAACTGATCAAGTATCCACCATGAGACCTGAAGCTCCTGAGTTAGATCTTCGTCGAGGTTGTACGGGTACATTAATAAGGAGTCCCGTTTTAGAACGAAAGAGCTGTCAAGGACCCTCAGAGTTTTAACACTATCTTAACTTGGATCATTCTGTGTTAAGTACAACCTATAGATAATAGAAAGTGATAGTGATAAAGGGATACTCCATCCTAAATATCCATCCAGAACACAGAGAAATACAAACTTGAAATAATAAAAATTAAGTTATAAAACATTATGTACTGATTATTCTGATGCTATTTATGTCAATATATTAATACTCTATTTTGTTGCTCTGTTTAGAACATTTTAAGCTTATACCGGCATAATATTATTATATCTAGTCAAACTTATTTAATGAGCCTAACAAAACTATCACTCAATATTTGACTACAGATTAGTTTAATCCAGAGAAATTTGCCTAACTTCATTGTTCATAGAAGTTATTACCATCAATAATCACCTTATTCAAAAAGTTTATGAAATTTAATTTTTTTTATCAAGGGGGATAAATGGATATCTGTCAAGGTATGCAGTCCGATTAAGAAAATATGTACATTCCTGATGCTTAACCGAGTAAGATATATAAATGGAGAAAACGAACGGAAATTGTGTTGGAAATAGTAGTGACAAAATGTTTAATGAGAATGCTTACTATTTAGATGTTTTTTTTTCAAATAAATAGACAGAATCAAAGACTATGTGTCTTTACCCTAGATCAACAATATGATTTACCGTGTTGTACATACATCCATATAAGGTTTTCAAGTCCAAATAATTCTCACCTAAAACGGTCGAATAATTCTAAGTTGTTCTTTTAATGGTTGAGATCATGGGTCAATTAAAGCTAGACCACCATAGAAAACCTGGAAGCACTAAACGGCCGTTTCGTCTTAAAATTGCATCATCTGAAGTCACAGTGAGATACATTAACATTGAGTCATTTAAACGATGGATGATATGGCCTCGAATAGTACAAGGAGCACCAGTTACTGCGTAATTGTTGGTGAGATTAAACTTTTACAAAACCCGAATTCAGATATTCTCAATGATCTTTCGACCATCTTATACAAAAAGTTGACCGCGAAGTCAAGTCGCATAGGCCAGTTATCATGCGACAATATGATCAACAGGATTTGATTGACAGCAAGCACTAGATGATGTAATTTCGTTGCTACGCGTTTAAGATGGTTTCTTATCTATAACTTTAATTCATGTTGACATATCGTAGGAACAAATGTTTCACATATTTAGACATATCAAAGTTTAATACTGATCTTACTGATACTGTGTCCGCTGAACGTGGATCATAACTACTCAATTTGCCACAATTATCAGACAATATAGAATTTTGGTCTTGTGCCGTTATCACTGATAACGTTTCTATCTGAGCACCCGACTTGTGAAATAATGTTGATTTACAAAGTATTTTATTATTCAATTCATTGGACAACTGGTCACCATTAATCTGACTGGATTGAATCACTGTACGAGAGCGTAATGAATGCGGATAATCAGTAGACATAGTAGTGATATTATGACATGATGATTGAGGATTTGAAGATGAACAGATTTTTGGAACATGAATATCATGCATATGATAACGACATTGCAAATCATTCAATGTTGGCCAATTCCATGCTGAATTAATTAATAGCCCACATGGAGATCTATTATGTTATAAGAAATAGATAGTTCAGTTTATAATATTACAAACTAAAAAATATGTGCTTAAAACATTCAATCATCCCAACATAATGATTATTTAGTTAATTTTGTAAGTTAACAATAAAATAAGATAATAATGTATTTGAGCCACTAAATAGACTTTATTTTTACCAATAACCTGAGAAAGGATATTGCTCTGAGTATCTAAATAGAAAAATTTAATAAAATACTTTTATACGTTCAGTATTATATTTTGTAGTCTTTTTTAGTAAACGTTCAGTATAAACAAGATTTGATCTTATTCATTCACTGTTATTCGACTGTTTTATAAATAACACAACTATTTTGTTCTTTAAAGTCAAGCGTATTAACAATAGATAGTTGTGAGATTTCTAAAAAGAGAAAATATAACTATATTAAATGACTGATGAGTATCTTTTTCATTTTTGTGGCAGTTAGGAGGTATACCATAACTAATAGAAAGCTGATTACATGTGACTTTTTCTTAGGGTAGTTAAGCCGTGACTAGCAGTGGAATTTATAACATACACCTCTTCCCATTTAGGATTCTTCAGCCGAATGCACATAGGTTCATTGTGATGAAATGATAAATTACAGATAACCCTCATAAGATGCATAGATACCAAGACGGAGTGATCGAAATTTAGTCCTGAATATCACTAACAGTTTGCTTCAAAGTCTTTCCAGTGACAGTAGAAATATATATGAGTTTGATATAGATAAACATTGACTATACGGATAGCATGATTTACAGAATATATCATGTAAAGATCACAAGGTAGGACTTATTGATAAAGATATGAAAAACTGATATCACACAATAATTTAAAATGCGGCGACATGAAATAACAATATTCCTTTACTAAATATTGTACATAAAATCCTTACTATGTAATTGAAAGAGTTTCTTGTCAACATTTGATAAAAATAAGTGAATCCAACTCAGTACTATTTAATGAATGTTTAATCTCTCTCACTGATATATTATTTCGATTCTTTTGATATTCATCTCGCCAACTTCCCTTCCTCGTCCTGATATACTAAGGCAACACTGTTTAACGCTTACTTGCGTCAGATTATACGCTATTTATGGCGGACTGACTGAGAGATTGAAGATTCGATAAACAGGGTTTTGGATTGTTAAGTAACTGAATATAATACTAACTTTTCAATGATATGATGTGAGTGGAAGCTGATAACAAGACTAGTTTATTGACTTAACTAATCAGTTACATTGTTATTACAACACAAGATAATTGGCCAATAGAATGAGTTCTTTATATCACAGAATAATTTGTTTTAATTCCGTCTTCATGTAAAATCAAACGTGATCAGGTGTTTTAAATGCTTGGACAATATCAGTTTTTAAGCTCCAACACCGTTCAAGAAGCTAAAGTTTTGAACGTTGTATCAGTCACTGAACAGGTACAAATTCGTGCACATGGCATTAAGTTGTACATTTTGTGTAAAGAGTAGTAATGCTAGTTAGCTAACAAAATCCGAAGCACGTGTATTGAAATCCAAAATTGAAATTCAGTGGTTGAAATTAAAGTGGCTTAAACCAACATAGTACTTCTCAAAGTTTATAGACAATAAATAATTGACGTGATAAAAAATAAATTGATTCAACGTTTCAAATCTTACTTTTTAGGGTAAACAAACCATCCTAAAATTATAACTGTAATGCAGCTTGGTAATAGGGATATTGCAGCTATACCATATGACCAAGATAATGAGTTATGATCAAGATCTTCTAACCAAGGATGTTTAGCAGCCTTTTCAATTTTCTGTTCAGTGTCTACTCCTACACCCATTGTGATCAAACTAATTAAAGTTGAAAAACCTGAAAAGAAGTGGACAAAAACTGTAGGATATAATATATCAAGCAGTAACTTAGCAGTAACTTAGTACAACTATTATGAAATTGTTTGGCTGTGACATGTAGTCATATTATGAGCAGAAGTTATTATATGGCCCAGTTAATTAGTTATATCTGTTAGTTTAAGATGCTTCATTGTATCATATGGTAAATGTGTATTCATATCGTAAGTTATTGAAAAAAATTATGTTAAATGATACTCAGTTCTATTGTATGGTGTTGAACCTTGAAGAACTACTTTAATCATCATCAAGAATGTACAGGTAATTATAAACCATTGTAAATTCAAGATACTGAATGTCCATTGACTGGATACCATTAGCAACAACCTAATGTGGGATAGAACAAATCAACTTAAAGCTGAAAAAGAAATTAGGAAAAGGCAAAGGAGGTAGATAGGGCTGTAGTGGTAAATGAATTCCCAAACTAAATAGCTCTGTAAGTCTTTGACATTGATGCTGACCTCACTAGTTGTACTAGAAACACCCTAGTTGAATGCTATTGGTTGCGTATCTGCACCAGATTACGAGTGAGTATGTCATGCTACACATTCTTTTGAACTAATGGCCAGCTTAGATCAAACGCTTTTTGGCATACTGATAGCTTTCTTAATATATCTTCTGACCCTTCCATTTCTGACTTCTGATTTGACTGGGTTGATTTACCTCTATCATAAAGGTGTTACACGTAAAGATGTTCTCAAACTCCGAATGCCTATAGGATTCTTTAGGACATACATTGCGAAAATCATCAGAGTATGTTAGAAGACAAGCTCTTATTTGGTGTACTGAAGGCAAAAGGAAAGACAGAAGAACACAATGCGCCGGGAATTGCAAGCGGATATCAATAGAATGAATAGCAACTGGAAACAGTTAGAAAAGATAGCCTGGTCAGTGGCCTATGCTTTTCCAAATGGGGTGACAGAAGTAAATAAATAATACTCATTTTTAATTAACACAAATCTGATCGTAATTAAGCCATGTAAAAATTCGTATATTTCTACATTATTCTGACTTACTTCGAGAGTAAAATAAATCCGTACAAAACGTGTTTTGTTTTTGCTACGCGTTATTTTTTAAGTACTGGTACAGCACGATATTAAAACACTAATTAAAGATTATCTAGCACTATTTCCGGAGATGTGTTACTGTGTTAATTTTCATTAATATACAATCAAATGCTGATGCTAGTACAATACAGCGGTTAAATCAAATAGCAATCAAGTCATAGCGATTATTGGAAAATCAACAGTCATAGGTTTGGCACACTAAACTGAGTCCATAATCCAGTAAGAAGCTGAACACGTATCAGGAGTACTCAGAATGACTTTGACGTGCAAGTTTTTGAAACAAATGAAAATGCAATTCAAACTTACAGTTAACTGATAGAGTCACCATTATACACAAAACTGCACGTGACCCGAAAATCGAAACCAAGCCGAGAACTTGAGTCAGAATAACACATTCTGCCAATACATGGGTTGCAAAACTGCATGTAAAAAATGCTTGACAAGCAATAAACCAATCTTTAAAGTGGCAAATTTAATTATACACCAGTTTCATACCTCTGAATATAATCGGCCACAGAGTCAAAATTTTCGTGTCAAATAAATAGAAACATCCAAAATACATATGGTTTCCAGTTTTCTTCGCCATATAGCCTTCGAAACACACCTCCCATAGCCCCAATCTTACGAAGCGATTTTGAGACTGAGGATATCTGGCATACCAGTAAGGCATAACCATTGAAACAAAACCACATGTGAAACCAAATGTTGTAAATGTGAAACATGTCCAAAACAAAGGAACTTTGTGATGACCTTCCATCATGTCAAGCGTACTTCAACTCACCAACCCATATCTTAGAAACTGTGAATCATTTACCCACGTTTACTGGATTATAAAAAATTTCATCCAAATGACAGATTAAAACAATATAAGAAATGAGTATTGACTACAAGCAGTCCTAGGATATTCTACCGATATAATTAATTTTTATAACTTTTATACATATAAAAGACCACACACGTCTCCAAGTAAAAAGAAATGAGAATGTAAGTTATTGTAAACTGAAAGGAATGATTTTAATGGTTTAAAGAAAATAATTGCTTATCGGCCACTTCTTGTTGTTTCAGTATTGTTCTGGGTATTTTTGACTTTTAATGCGGGGTAGTCTGATCATGGGCCTCAATATTCTCAGTAATTTCGAAAGTTGTTTGTGGGTTTTTATATTTCGTATTCCGAGTGCGTTTGTTTCAGGGTAGTAGGGTTCGTAGGACCAAAAGTCACGGCATTACCAGGTAGGAGATAGGTTAGCTACAATTTGAGAAACAATTGCAACTCGAGTGAACTAATAGATTTTTGTTAGCAGACGCAAATGAATAAGTAAATCGATCATCCAAGCAAGTGTGCGGATGGAATTATCAATACGACAAGTAAACGTACATGATAATGAATGAGATAGGAACAATGTGATAATGTGTAGTGGTGATAATGACAGGCATCCGACACCTTGTCAAAACGGGAGATGGCAATCTATGGGTGACTACATGTTTTTCAGATCTCCTCTTGAAAATATCCACTCAGTGGGCTGAGAATTATTAAAGTGGGGAGTCACCCCAAATGTGCAGAAATATCACCAAAAAGAGCAAGGATGTCCACCAAGGTTTGAGTTTTGTGTGAATTTTTTTCGAAGTTACCTAACGAATCACGGTGGTGATATTTTGGTGTGACGTTCCTGTTGAAGTCATTTGGAGTATTGAATATGTTATGTCATTATCAAGTGATCTATTACTCCTCTTATGTCTTAAGAATACCTTGAATGACGGTAACCCTGGTGATATATAAAAGTGAAAGGCATGTAACTTATCGTCACACATTAAAGTATTAAATCATTAATGAGTTAATGGATATACGGCCTTCGATAATACTTCTTCCCTATCCTATTCGAATGAAATAACACCAAAACCAACAACACCAGAAGTCGAGAATGGTGGAATGAGAAAATGCATTTGAATTATCAGTTGATAAATTGCTGCGCAATATCTGGCCTGATAATCTTTGATGGTTTACCAGGACTTAATTTATCCGAACACTACCAGCTAGTGAAGTGTCAAGTGCAGTTGCAATGGTTATTCTGGAATATTTATAGAACGATTAAATTTGAAGAACTGTTTTAAGCTACAGCTAACTTCCATGTTAATGTAACTGTGCAGACCCTGAAACGCGACTAGCTAGAATTTTAAACTCGTGTTTATTGTTGGTAAACACTTTTTCGATAATTTGCTACTTCTTGCTACTTCTAGTCGTCTGTGTCCAAAGTAGTGGATTGTGTGAAGATTAAAGACTATAAACCACACGAGGATGAATGGAGCTTTTCATTCTGTCTTCATTTTGTTTTTCTTTACCGATTGGTATGGATATGCCAACTATCTACAACCAATTTCTATTATGGTTAATTTTGACTAAGCCTTTTTATCGCCTTACTTGACAGGCAGTGTCACTTATATGGTAACAAACTGTCTATTTCTTCGAACTCTTATGACCACTAGATCACATGACAAACTGGCTAAAATGTTGGTTGTCTAGATATCACTCGGTAATTCATCCTCCTCCTCATGTATATTTGTACTCAAATCCCATTATCAGCTTACCCTTTGCCTTGGTGTGCCGTAATGCGATTTAACTATAAATTTGTTTCTGTATTTACTCACACACACATACTCGCCCCTTTGCTCTAAATTCGCTTGATGTGCTTAAAGCTTTGTAATCTGCACTGTCCACTGTAGCGGTAAATAAACCCCCAAAATAAATAGCTCTGTAAGTTTACGACATTGGATGGTGATCACATGTTTTAATGAACTCACCTAGCTGAAGGCTCTCGGTCATGCATCCGCACCAGATCACGTATGGTAACGCCGTGCTCAACATCTACCGCAATCGCTAGCCAGATTAGATGAGATAATTCCGATATATACTGGCAATCGTCAAACACAACTTCCGATCTCCTCGATTCTGTCTTTTGATTTCTCTTGGTGGGTACGAGTTATATTAGAAGGTGTTACTGGTAAAAGCGTTGTCAATCATTGAATACCTGTGCCAACTTTACCACTAACACACCGTAGATTGCGCTTCGCATTGTCTTCTTTTTTCGAAATTCCATGATATTTATCTTATAACGGTCATCGAGGTGATTCATTAACGAAGCAAATCGAGTACATGGAAAATGGAGAAAAACTGTTACTGATTGTTATATGCAGATGTTCTTACAAAACATATTTGAGAAAATTGCACATGAAGGTGAGCATATAAACTATGAGACAGAGGACATTTTACACACAAGCGTTTGCCTTTTTGTTCATCCGTGAGGAATTGGAATATAGGAGTATATAAAGAAATTGAATTTTTTGGACAGAACAAAAATAAACGATGCACCCAAGATGCTACAGAAAGCGGAAAAGAAACATACAACATTCAGCTGATTACTTTCAACACTGTACGACTTTTCGCTTTCGTTTATTACATAGCACCTTGGTTCACAATTTTGGAACCTACAAAGTCATGTTCTATACCACAAAAAAAATCGTACGAATATATCTGCTGATCAAGACGTTTTATATACGTGAGTGTTAGTAAAACACTTTCCCACGTATATATCCTTTACAAGAGTGATTATTTATCTATTATTATTATTATTCACAAACATCTTATGGGTACATAAGTGTTGTGAAGAAACCATTTCGGGTTTCTTCAAAAATGCAATAATGCACAATTTTCAATAATGTTAGCATTATTCTTGCCATATTTAAAAAAATTTCCAGAGTAATAATAGTAGAATATTAATAATAATAAATCGGGTTCTGTGTAATTGACAAGAATATTGAATTGAATTTAAAGAAGGAAAAGAAGAAAATAGGGGAATAGAAATAAAGATGTGAAATACGCAAATATTTTAATAGGAGTGTTTATGAATACAGAACAATAATAAACGACCATGTGTATATAGTCAAATTAGTAACAAAAATTATTTAGGAAAAAAGAATTTATCATTGCAGTAAGATATGACGCTAGAATAAATGTTTGTGCAGCTATAGTTTAGAGTGATGCTATGAAAGTCTCAATTAAATGAAAAGGATAACAAAATATCAATATGTATGAGTCATATGTGCATAATGAAGATAAAACGAATCCGAGAAGTTAATTAAGTGTAATACAAGTTATTGTCTTAATTACAATCTTAAAAATAGTATTTATTTAGAGGGAAAGAAGAGAGATAAAAGAAGTGAACACCTAGTGAAAAGGTTCATCCGTGATAAGAGTAATAATTGTGTGATGAATATCGACCTCAGAAGTAAACCAGCAATTGAGAAAAAATAAAACAGTTCATTTAGTGCACTCGGATAAATACATTTAGATTTGTGTAATAGTATACAGAGTGAAGCCGGATATTAGTATAATAATAATAATGATAATAATAATAATAATACTTAAGAAAGGTGCTATGAAAGTAACAATTGATTTCAAAGGACAATCTGAAATTAAATATGTTTAGATGGATAAGAAAAGATAGAAGGAATATCTAATGTATCGGGGGACCAATAATGATATGAATAACGGTAATAATGATAAACACGAACATAAGCTGACTTTATATATGAAGATAAATAGAAATAAAATAAAATAGACGTGAAAAGATTTAAAGGTTTATTTTGCTTTTCAGACAGTTAAATTGATGACGGACCTTGTTTGTATAAATCATTATTGATTGCATTGATATTCAATAGGCGACATAATCCACTTTCGGAAAGAAAATCGTCAAGGAGACTTGTGAACCGGATTGTAGTTTCACTGCAACGGAGGTTCACTGGCAGTCTGTTTCACATGATTGAGTAGCGAATAAAGAAAAAATTCTGGCGTTAGTTTGTGTGGGTTCTTGGAATCGCTAGAATGTTCTCCTTATTGCGTAGATTATGGGATGATATCATAAGGTATGAAGGGGTGGATACCGAAGAGTAGGAAATACTGTTAATGAGCCGGTAGATAAAGACAAGATTTAATTTGATACGTCTGATCCAAGGCGGTTATAAGTTCAGTTGTTGACATCTTTGGTGATTGACTTTGTTAACGGAATACCCCAGAATTTGTTTCTTCTTAAATGCCACTGTGGCTCGTTTCGGTCTAATGTATCATGTTTATTTTTTGGTTACTCGGGGATATTAATGCCATTCGTTTTTATTTCTCAGTATTTCATCATGTTCTTATATTTTTACTGATCCGTGGTTTTTCACTACTCACTATTATATCCTACTGGCTCCTGAATTAGCTTGTCGCTTCTTGATCATTCTTGTCGTAATTGTCCAATTTAATTTACTTCACTTGTGAAGTATTACATTTTTTGTTACATGGAAAACCTATGATCATTGAAAATTTCTTCCCATCATGAATGAGCCAAACTAATTTTTCTATTAGAATAAAAATGTAATCGTTTTTTTGAGAGGGGCATCATTTGTCAAAGAAGATTCAATATATGATTTACTGCTCATGGTCGTTCAAGGTGGATTCTGATCATTCAAAATGCACAAGTCTGATTTAGTTGGATCTGGTTGCGTCGAGTACCCGGCCTAGAGTTATATGTATTGCGCTCGGTAGGGCTCCTTTAAAAATATTTCGTGTAACTGAGAAAGGAGTAACGTCTCACAAACAGGTACGAGACATAAGCCTGAGAGCTATCGAATCGCAAACTTAACCAGGATGGCTGTTCAAATGTTGGAAGAGATCGTTCGAAAGAAGTTGTATAAGTATCTAGACGAACACCAGATTCCTTCAAAAAAACTATTTTAGACCAGGTTTTTCAAGTCCCATAAATTTATCAGTAGCATATGGAGGT